AACAATGCAGGTTTAGGTAGCTCTATTGGCCCCACGGAATGGATGACTGTGGAAGACTACCGCAAAGTCATGTCTGTCAACACTTTTGGAATGATCGAGGTATCATTGGCCTTCCTGCCGTTGCTCAAGCGAGCACGTGGCCGAGTAGTCAATGTTTCCAGCGTCCTGGGGCGGGTTTCAGCCAATGGTGGTGGCTACTGCGTTTCGAAATACACAGTTGAGGCCTTCTCTGACAGCCTCAGGTAGGTGGCTTTGATATGTGCTCATTCCTCAGGTCCACAATAGCCTTTCAGAGTCTCCCTAATGCCTGCTCTTAGTGTAACAATTACTGTTATTAAAACGGATGTCTTACGCCAACCCATGTTATAACCATTCAGACTGAGCTGTTTTCCGATTTTCAAAGATTTTATGGTGCCTGTTGTTTTTTGAGAGGTAAAGGTATCGCTAAATAGACATTATTATTATTGCTTATTATTGTTTAGACTTTTATACAACTTTATAGTGCTTTACAACCCTCTCTAAGCGGTTTACAAAGTTAGCATATAGCATATAGCATATAGCATATTGCATATTAGCATATTGCATTAGCATTAGCATATTGCCCCCAACAATCTGGGTCCTCATTTTACCCACCTTGGAAGGATGGAAGGCTGAGTCAACCTTGAGCCAGTGAGATTTGATCTGCTGACCTGCTGAACTAGCAGTCAGCTGAAGTAGCTGCAGTACTGCACTCTAACCACTGCGCCACCTCGGCATGTTGATCATACAAAATATGTGGCAACAACTAACCGACAACCCCATTATTGGAGACTCAAGGAATGTTATGGAAGCTTTACGTATTGGAATAAAGAATATGATTCAACTGTTCACAATATTTTGGGTTTTTTTTTTCAGGAGGGACATGTATCATTTTGGGGTAAAAGTCTCCATTGTAGAGCCAGGCTTTTTCAAAACAGCCATGACTAATCTTGAAACGATAGAGGCTGCTCTGAGGCACTACTGGGACCGAATGACCCCCGAAACTCAGCAGAGCTATGGTGAAAGTTTCTTTCACAATTGTGAGTACTGATGCATACTAGAATACGAGTGGAAGCAGGGAGGAAAACTACTCCCATTTGAAGCCATTTTCTGTAAAATCTCTTCCAAACAAATGCACCGTGGCCATAGCCATATCACAGGGTTTAAAGAGATTTTTTGTTCCCATCTCCATTCTCAAAATACTAAAACCTGCAAAAAGGGCCTGAAATCACTCTGGAAAAAAAACCCCTTTTTGGGTAGGCCTTGCTCCAGGGATGGGTTCTACTTACCTTTACTAGAACGGGAGCGTGTGCACGCGCTTCGCTTGCACACTTCTGCGCATGCGCAGATTATCAATTATGACGTTTGGCTGGGTGGACGGAGCTTTCTGCCGCTTTTACTACCGGTTCTATAGAACCGGACAGAACCAGGAGCAACCCACCACTGCCTTGCTCCCATTTTCATCCTTACTTTTGCATTTTAAAAAAAGCTTTCAAAATTTGGTATTTGGCTCCTAAATTTCAATAGGTGCATAGCAATAGCACTTAGACTTACATACCATTTCACAGTGCTTTACAGCTCTCTCTTAGTAGGTTTACAGAGTCAGCATATTGCCCCCAACAATCTGGGTTCTCATTCTACCGATCTTGGAAGGATGGAAGGATGAGTCAACCTTGAGAGCCGGTCAGGATCGAACTCCTGGAGTGAACAGTGAGTTAGCCTGCAGTACTGCATTCTAACTACTGCTCCACCATGGCTTTTCAGCATGGCAAGTGCTAGGAGACCATTTCATCTTCATGTGCAACTTCCTATCTGTTCTAACATAATTGAAAGAAGGGTGCAGATAAGACTTGCATCCCAGCCGTAATTGCAGTCAAATTTTGCAGTTTGCTAGTTAAATACAGAACGGAGAAGAGTTTTCTTAACATGGTGCCCATCAGAAGAATTGGACTCCCATCATTTTATACTGTCGGGAGTATAAACATCTGCCTTTAACCAGCTGTCTTTAGATTGAAGATCATCTGATTGAAGACAGTTAATTTAGGTCTAGGAGAAGTCAAGTGTTAGCTTGATGGGACCAGCTAACAAGAGGAGTCAGTATCTTGCATTAAGACAAAAGACATCTAAAACAGTAATCTCTTATCAGGATAAGGTTAAGTATCAGGCAGAAAGTTTAATTTCTGATGATTTCCATCTCTCTGTAGACTTGAGAGTCCAGAAGTTCATCATGAACATCGTCTGCGATTCTGATCTCAGCAAAGTGACGAACTGCATGGAGCACGCCCTTCAAGCTAAGCACCCTCGCTCTCGTTACAGTGCAGGATGGGATGCTAAGTTTCTGTGGCTGCCAATCTCTTATTTGCCTTCCTTTTTGGTGGATATTTCCCTGTCTATCATCTTACCAAAGCCAGCTCAGCGGATGCACTAAAAGCTGCTCCATTATGATCAAGCTTGAGGCCTAAATGTTGACAGATCAAACTCCTGAAAACCAGTAATAAATAAAAGTATTCAAAGAAAGCTGTTGTCTCGCCAGCTCTGGTTTCACAGGAAGGTATGGAAACATTTCCATCTTGTAAGCTACTTGCTATCCAGATGCTGAGAGATCATGAAGAACAGGGATATTTGGATGCAGAAGGGAAATGTTGGGCGAATGAATTAAGTAATCAATGCCAACATAAAAAAGCACCTGACAAAAAGTGGTTACCATTTTTTTTCAAGCATAAGCTTTTTTAGTGAGACTCTGAAGTACACATGACAATACAGGAAAGGACAATATTTAAATATTAATTGCAGCCTTGGAGGAAAAATTTAAAGTAAAACCAGTGTTCTGAATGTCCAAACACTTACGGTTCATTGTCTTAACTCCCATCACCAAATCACACCACTGTTGCAGGCTTTCAGAGGCAGAACTTGGGAAGACCTTATAGCCGTGAGCTATAAGTGCCCAAAGTGGCATGCGGAGCCATGTTGCCTGGCACATGCGTCGCCCGTTCTTGTTCTGGGTTTCTGGCGTGCCTGCACATGTAACAATCAGCTGGCCTGTTTGCATGCAGCAGTGCCGGAAAATGGTAGAGCTGGTCTTCCGTTTTCCTGCATGAGCATGTGCGCCAGCCAGCTAATCATTGCATGCATGCCAGAAACCCAGAAGAGCAGCTGGCCAGCATGCGTGCATTGGAAACCGGAAGTTCATTTTTGGGCGCGCATATGCGCCCTGGGCAACTCTTCTGGGTTGTGCCCCAGACGAGTGCATGTGCAAAGCGTGTACAAGCGCGTGCTCCCTTTTCGGCACTCGGTGCCAAAAAGGTTTGCCATCACTGCCTTATAGGATGTACTCCAAAAGACCTGCTAACTATTGTGGTAGGTTGTAGATTGCCCAAAGGTCCAACTTTCATGCATCCATACACTCTGTGAGGAATGTTAAAGCTAAGAGTAGAAATCTCTACTGGTTCTCTTGTTGTGGAACCCCCAAATATTCAAGAGAGCTCAAAGATGATCTCCAGTCCATAATCTGATAAACCTTTGCTACCTTTTTGTACACATGCCCAAGTCTTCTATTTAGAGGAGGAATAGATACCAAAGGTTCAACTGGAGGTTAGGTGAACGTATGGAGAAGTGGTGACCTAAACACATGTTTAGGATAAAACCATTTTCCCAGAGTTAGCATGCTTTCCAAGTTTCAATCCTGATGGATAATGGATGATGGAAGTTCATTAGGATTCAGTATGGCAGCTTGGGTTACATTCAACCAACTTGAGTTACATTCAACCAAAAATCTCTCAATTTTTCACTGAGCCCAAAGGATGACCTAACAGCCTTTCTTTGACTCTGCTTCAGGCAAAAATAGTTCTTAAAGTTAGAATTCTATTTTTAGCTCTGTTAAGGTGTGTGTATATTAACCTGATTTTTCAAAAATGCCAGCAAACCTAGCACAAATGTACTACTACTTAGCAGCAACTGTTAAGAAAGGGCAACCAGGTACATAAAAACACTAAAAGCAGATTGTGTCCGATGATTGGAGAGAGGCAAGAGGAAAAAAGACAAGAACTTGCAATTCTCCACAACGGCTATCAGAGGGCGATTTGGGCACCATGGGAAGTTTCTGGTATAACCACATAAATTTGATAAACAATCTATTGCTTATGTTGAAATTTAATATGATATTAGCTTCACTGGGAAAGGGTAACTTTTAGAGCCAACAGAGATTGATGAGCCTTCTTTCATGATGCTAATCTAGGAACATGGCTGTGACTGTCATGGCTCATAAAAGACCAGACAGGAAGTGATTTAATCCAAGAACTAAAGTCCTGTTGAAAGCCAAACAGAGGAAGGAGGAGGAGAAGAAAGGAATGCAATTCACACTTCTCAATACAGGCAGTCCTCGACTTACAACCACAATTGGGACCAGAATTTCCATTGCTAAGCAAGATAGTTAAGTGAATGCATGACCTTTTTTGCCATGGTTGTTAAGCAAATCTGGCTTTCTCCATTAACTGCTTGTCAGAAGTTGGCAGGGAAGGTTGCAAATGGCGATCCCATGTCCCTGGGATGCTGCAACCACCATTAATACATGCTGGCTGCCAAGCACCCAAATTTCAATCATTTGACCATGGGGATACAGTGATGGTTGCAAGTGTGAGGACCAGTTGTAACTTTTTTCAGTGCCACTGTAACGTCTAACAGACGCTAAACAAATGGCTGTAAATAAAGGACTATCTGTAAAGGGTAAAAATACATACACCCACATCAAGAACCTGCCTGATCCAAACACATCCCATAATTCCATGTTAAATAAGGTCTCCTAATTTCTGAAGCAGTGCAGGAGTTGTTTACAACTGATTATATCCTATGTAATTCCAGTATTACATAAAGAAGCCATGTTCTACCAACCATCCTCTCTTTTTTAAGAGAGTCATAGGATGAGGCAAAGCTAAAAAATGGTCAGTGGAGAAAAGGCACCATACAAATAAGTCACGACACGTGGGTGAAACAATATCTTTTATTTTCCAAATAGTGAATTACTGACTAAAAATATTAGCCCTGACAATTTTCCTTCTTATAACCTATATAGAATCAAGAGTTTATCTTTCCAAAGGAAAAGAGAAATATAGCTGAACACATAAGACAGTCTACTTGAAAGGACTCATAAAGTAGAATAATGTCTTTAAATATGTTTGCTCACATCTATTAAGGGCACCAGTAACATATCATCAGATGCCCAGTAGGTGGCACACAAGTCTCACATGAAGGATAATGCAAGGTCTAGGAGTTGCAAGTGAGGTGCAAGGAATGGATTTAAACCTGCCCATTATGGGAGAGGAAAAAAAAGAGAGATAAGGCAATGTGTGAATCCTTTGAGGGCAGCATATATTTTCCTAACAGGCAACAGAAGAAGAGGCATCCACCCAACCCTGTCCCATTGGCACATGATGGTCAACTGTATCCCCAGAAATGGAGATGAAAGTATTCCAGAGTTTTGTGATTGGGCCTCATAACAGCCAGATGTACAGGAAGAGAAACGATTACATGACCTCATAGCCACTGCGGATTCCTTTCATGAGACAACAGGCAAAAATGATGCCCAGGAGCTGGAAAAAAAATGAGAGAAAAATTATTTAGCCCTGATGTTTTATTTAGAAATAGCAAGACTACTGCACTGTAGGAGCCGTGGAGGTGCAGTGGTTAGAATGCAGGATTGCAGGCAAACTCTGCCCACAGCCATATATCTGTATAATCATGTTTTAACTGTGTTTGTGAAAGTCTGCTTTTTTGTGATGTGAAATTCACTTTTTCAAGAACACAAACCAAAGCTGCAAGTGTTTTCCAGCAAAACAAAGATGCAGGTAAGCATGTTCAGATGAGAACACGTTCCCACAAAACAATAGCTTTTGTACCTCAAAGAAGGCAATGCCCAACGCAACTGCAGCCACGATCACGATGTGTCTCTTCAGCCAATCTTCTATTTTTTTCACACAACCCTGCAGGGAAAGAAAACAATGTTTGGAGGACTCTCTCAAAAAACTAAAGCTGGAGCAGAAAATCAGTGTAGCATTATAGGCAAGGTTTGGGTGTGGGGAAACTAGGATTAAGCTCCTACATAAACTAGGCCTCACTGGGTGATTTTGGATTAGGCAAGGATGTCTAGCCGTGGCCACTTTAAGACTTGTGGACATCAACTCCCAGAATTCCTCAGCCAGCCATGTGAACCAGAATACTGTCTGGGGAACTCTGGGAGTTGAAGTCCACAAGTCCTGAAGTGCCGAGGTTGGACATCCCTGGACTACGCATATTCTCTAAACTAACCCACTTCACAGGGTTGCAGCAGGGATATTATTAGGGCAGATTTCTCTATGCTCTGCCTTTTACAAAGAGCTCAAAGCAGAATGAATTAATACATACGCCATCCCAACACTCTTTGTCATACAAACCTCTTCGAAAGTATTTTCACGCGTGGGATTTTTGGTACAGTCCGTGGTATTCTTGCAGCAAGAGGAGGGTACTCTTCCAGGCTTAAATTGTGTGACATTAAACCAGTCAGTATAACTGTTGATTCCGCAGCAGGAATACTATAGTTGGGGATGGGAGAAGACAAGAAGAAAAAGAGGTGAACATTTTAATGAAATCGGGGTTTGAGTTTTGTAAGTCTTCAATAGTGTTGTGGTTCACCAGCAGCCTGCGGAGCTGGCAGCAGAGTCGGACAGCGATGAGGCTGAGGAAGAACATGGGCTAGTCCTGGAGGCTGGGGAAGGCCCGGATGAGGGCTCTGCTTCGGAGGCAAAGATGGGGCCAGGGCCATCTGGGAGTGATGTGTGGCTCTGGAGCCTCCAGAGGCTGACAGTAGAGAGGCAGAGGAACAGGAGGAGCCTGTTCCTAGTGCACGTATGAGCTGCCAGAAGGCAAGAGCAGCTAAAGCAAAGAGGACGACTCAGGAATAGGGCCAAGAGATGATTAGCCCCTCCCATAAGGCTTAAAAGACCAGCAATGGCTCTTGGGCTTTGTCGGAAAACAACGTTGATAGTTTTGCTGCACTTATCTCGTCGGCATCTTCTGCTTTTGAACTTTTGCCAAGAGAAGCCTTTGGCAGTTTGCCTAATTATACCAAGGTTGGTGATTAGACTGAAGAATTTGTGTTATGAAGAGTTTGTTTTAATTTAGTTTGGACTACGCTGAGAATGAGTTAATTCTCAGCTGTTCTAATAAAGTCTGTTTGTTTTGGAACTGTTTGCGTCGATAACTACCTACTTGGGCCTGGGTCACAACAGATACTTGACTTGCATCTGATTAAGAGGAAACTTTTTATTAAATGCATGATTGGGCAACATCTAATGCTGGACGGAGCCCCAGCATATGTCCAGGCAAGCCACCCATCAGCTTCATTCTCACACCTATAGACCTGGAATGGTTAGTGCTCAGCCTTTTCCTCTCCCTTTTTAACAGACAATATCTATGTTATATCTTCTTTGACGCATATTCCAACTATTCTGTTCTTGCCACTTTGAGCCCCCATCTCTCCTGTGCCTTCCGTCTTCCTCTTCCAGAAGAGGAAGAAGCCTCATCCGCCTTTCCCCCAGTTGTCCTGTTTCCAGCAAAAATGCAGGTTCTCCACTGCTTTTCACTGCAGGGATTCAGCTGCATGCTCAACAGGACTATATTGTAGGAAAAGCAATGCAACAAGTATCACACAGACTGTAACTATGGACATTTGGACAAGTTGTTTTGGAAAGTGAAGGACTGTCGAAGGTAATACTGAAATCAGGAAAAGGGAATCTGCAAACAAATCAGGAACACCCCCCCCTACTTTTTAAAAATCCACTATTTATACCATCACTGCTTTGCCAACCCTCGAGTCCTAGAGGCAGACCCTTATGGCAGACTTACTCTCTTCTGCAAATCATCCAAAGTATTTTTCATGGATGAATTGTAGTTATTCATTTCTTGCTGGATTTCATCTTTAATCACTGTTTGGACCTGGGAAAGAAAACAAAGGAAGAGAGGTAGTAAGATTCAAAAAGTTTCCCTAGGAAGAATGAAACAACTCCATTCAAAGTGGATTCTCTAAAGGTGGACATCCTAATTTGAGTCCTAACCTGTACTCCAGCCTTTGCCTGTGCTGGCTGAGGAATGCTTGGAATTGTGGTCCAAAATCTTTTTTTCCTTAGGAAGTTTCAATATTTAAGGGTAGGAGGTTACTGTGGCATCATTCTTGAAGGTCTTTCTTACCTTGTCTTTAAAGATGTATCCTGTAATGGCAGCTGCAATCTCCACCAGGAAGATTATAGTCAACAGGACAGCGAACTAAAGAGGGAGGAAAAAAATCTGTAAACATCCTGGAGTAACAAATGGATCCCAGTTGTCACATCTCCCTTCATTTGGGATTTTGGAGACAAAAGGAGACAAAAATGTACTGCCAGTTTGGCTGACATAACCCACCTCCAGATTAAGATTGTCTCCATTCAAGAAATAACACTATCCCCAAACTGGGAAATATTTTGTCAAACAACTCTTCAATTCTAGTTCTCTATCATGGTCTATACTAGGCTTCTCTTACATCAGAATGTTTGGTTGGGAGTTTAGTAAGTTTAGTATTTATATATGATCACCCACTCACTCACATCTAGAAGGCACCAGTTGAGTAAGGCTGTACCACCAAATAAAGCCATTAGGCCCAACTTTAGTCAAAGGCTTCCATGTTCATCTAGGAAAAATAGGTTTCTTAGCCTCCCAATAACCATCTGCCCCCCCAACTTTATAATTCTCTCCAGTGTTTGTCAATGCACTTCAGCTTATAGCAACAATTTTAGTGTTATCAGACCCAGCACACAAAGACAAGTTTTAAAAGACAAACGTGTAGCCACTACATCTCTTGTGGGCCCTTTTAATATTCATCCCCAATTGCTTGCCAAGACCTTAGATTTATCCAGAAACACCCACCCACAGTCTACAAGATTTTGGCCAATGAGGAATCTTTTGCTACTTTGATTTTAAAACACATTAAAGGCCATTTCTGTTGGGAATCAAGAAGTATTTCTCCACAGAATAACACATCGCGCTCTGTGTATTTCCATGAGGGAACCAGGAACCGAAATTATGCAAAAGAAATACATGGCTGTTGACATGACTTTGCACAGAATTTTTGCCACAGAGAAATTTTTAAATGATTTTAAAACACAGTTTTTGACCCAAGATGTTAATTTCTTATAGAAAGGCCAAAATAAAACTCCTGAATGGATTTCATAAGTACTGTTAAGCCTTGAATATTTCTGTTCTTATTACCATTTCTCCAACTCTCTTAAAAGTGCAAAGATTATGGACTGACAAAGTACTGATAACGCCTTCAAAGTTTTAAATATGTAAAACTGTAGTTTTAATATTTTAATTTTACTTGTTTTATAACTAGTAAGCCCGCCTGGAGTCACCTTGTAGGGGAGATGGGTGGCAATCTGGGAGTCCTCCTGGATACGCAGCTGTCCTTGGAGGAACATCTGATGGCTGTAGCCAGGGGGACCTTTTGTCAGGTTCACCTGATTCGCCAGTTGCGACCCTTTCTTGATCGGGATTCCATGTGCACAGTCACTCATGCCCTCGTCACCTCTCGCCTGGACTACTGCAATGCTCTCTACATGGGGCTCCCCTTAAAGAGCACCCAGAGGCTCCAACTGGTCCAGAATGCGGCCGCACGGGTAATTACGGGAGCTGCATGGCGCTCCCACATAACACCACTCCTGCGCGAGCTGCACTGGCTCCCAGTGGTCTTCCGGGTGCGCTTCAAGGTGTTGGTTACCACCTTTAAAGCGCTCCATGGCATAGGACCTAGTTATCTTTGAGACCGCCTGCTGCTACCGACAACCTCCCATCGACCTGTGCGCTCCCACAGAGAGGGCCTCCTCGGGGTGCCATCAGTCAAACAATGTAGGCTGGTGACCTCCAGGGGGAGGGCCTTCTCTGTGGGGGCACCTACCCTATGGAACCAGCTGCCCCCAGAGATAAGGAGAATCCAAGACCTCGGTGCCTTCCACCGTGCCCTTAAAACTTTTTTTTTTCAACAAGCTGGGCTGGCTTAACATATTTTTTAATTTTTAATTTTTAATTGGTTTGTCATTTTAAACTGGGGCCAAATTAATATATATTCTTTTAATTGTTTTTAATGTTTGTATTGTATGTTTTTATCTGGCTGTACACCGCCCTGAGTCCCTTGGGAGAAGGTGCGGTATATAAATTCAAAATAAAATAAAATAAATAAAATAAATAAACATTTAATGAATAAAAATATACTTTCTGATTTATTTTTTAAAAGGTTTTGGGTTAAATTGGAATGTCTGTCTCATTCCTTTTTGAATTATTTTCTCAATTGCAAAAGTATTATTACAATACGGTCTGCGGCCATAATACTATAATCCCCAATATGATACTGATAGAGGTTACTCTTGTTGCCCGCTAAGCTACCTGATTCACCTGATAGTTGAACCTGTTTTTAAAATGAAATGGGAAGCTGGCAGGCTAAAAAGTAAAATGCTAACTTCCAGCAACTTTTTTTAAAATTCCAATTAAAGCTTCCAAATCCCACAAGCATCCTTAGAAAATTAGCAGCTCTTAACATTGCAGGTATGCCCACCAATTCAAACAACTGGGAATAGCAGTTGCCAGATTACATATGTTTCAGCCCCAGGGGCCTGAGGTTAAGAATTGTTCAGATGGCACATTCCTAGGAAACATTTCTGCAATGAGACATAAATAAATCTGTACAGTGGGTGCATAACACAGTCAGCTTCTCATTTCCCAAGCTCCAAGAAATAACGCTACAGCTCCAATTCTTTGTCTGAATGCAGTATCAGAAGCTGGAACAAGTCGTCAGCAATTTCTTAGCCCCCCTGCCTGTTTCTTCTCCATCATCCCCCCCACCTCACCGTGGTGACCATGCAGTAGTTCTCTTTCACTGCCCCACAGCAACCAAAGAAGGAGATGAAGAATACTATGACGCCTACGGACAGGATGACAATAGGAGCAGCAGAAGCCGATGCTGGGCTGGTCATCACCAGCGTGTTTTTGAGCTCGATTTGTACGAAAATCCCCAGGGCAATCAAAGCAATTCCGCAGAGCTGTAGAGAAGGAAAACAAAACATCAGCATGGTGATGATGAGAAGCAGGGAAACAGCAATGTACGAGAAATGGTGCCTCCTCTTCTCTGGATGTGTTCCAGATGAGGCTAGATAGGTATCTGTTGATGCTTTAATTACATTACCGCACTGAGCAGGAGGCTGGACTTAAATAGAGCTTTTCCAACTCTTAAGATTCTGTCATAATCTTAGAAGGGCTGCATCTACAAAGGAAAATAGGCTGTAGGTGTATAAGACCTTTAACCCAGTTTGTCTCCTCTTAAAACCCTCTTGCTATTGAATTTTAATGGTCAGAAATTGGTGGCATGCTTTCCTATTTCTTTGAGTCGTGAAATAAGAAAACTGAAATAATTACTATTTTACCTACAATCAATCTCTTTGGTATACAGAAGGCACTATGCCCCACCTGGTTTTATTCTGTTATTTCTAGATGTTTAAAATTTAAGCAAAACAATTGAATGGGAAGTTATGGTGCCACAAAGCTTTAATTTCAAGAAAGCTTCAGATATCTATCTATCTATCTATCTATCTATCTATCTATCTATCTATCTATCATCTATTTATCTATCTATCTATCTATCTATCTATCTATCTATCTATCTATCTATCTATCTATCTATCTATCTATCTATATCTAGTCCTTCCTCCAGGGACATTCTTAAAAAATAAAAACAGATAACTAAAGCTTAGTATTTCATTTGACTGTTGAATTTCAAATGTGCTCACAAGCTGAGAGATCCGGCTATAATGCAGGCCTTACAATAAGTTTATCAGAGTCTTTAAGAAAGGAAAAAAACAATAGCTAAATTCAGGAAAACAGAAAACCACATCTCAATGTGTGGGTGATGCTGTTCTGTGCATTATCACCACATCCTCCAGGGGCCTTGTTTACGTGTTAATTTAGATCCCACCTTTCTTTCCGGAGTCCAAGGTTCAATAAAATATGCACATTCCCTCCTCTGTTTTTCTTATTAAAAACAATCTGGTAAATTGGCTTGAGTGATAGCAATTGTCGCAAAGTTACTCAATGAGCTTTCAGGGCCGATTGTGGTTGAACCTGTACCATCCCTGCCCAACAACTCAACCATCACACCAACTAGCTCTTATTCAGTGCAGCTCCCCAATCATTTCCTCTCTTCTAATGTAAAGGAATCTGTATCAACTTTGGTCCAAATGTTATCCTCCCTTCAAGCAAAAGAGTTAATCTGAGAAGTTCCCCTATTGTATATATTCCAATGCTAACTCCCACTAACCCAACTTCAGCCTCAAAATGGTGGCATAGGCAAATGGATACATTTGGAATGCTTAATGTTTTGTCCTCATCCTCCCATGGAAGCATTCCAATCTCTTACAGGGCCAATTTTGGAGAAAAGCCTGCTAAGTTATTTTCTACGTGTTGCTTTCAGGTAAGCTGAGTGAAACTCTCATCAGTCCAGTCACTAGTGGGCTGGATCATGCATGGAATGAGTGGGACTTGAAGTCCAATCCCTAAGCAGTGAAGCCATCTAGAAAGAGGACATAAGCTATTTTTGCAATATATTGTTTGTGTCAATAATCTAGTATCCTCTAGATTTGTTTGCTTACAATATCAACCAGTTAGAAATTGTGTGTATTGCCATCCAGAACACAACTACCTGGGCATCGGTTATTTATTCTGAACAGCATCACAAAGGGGAATAGATTCATTTATTTAATTTCAGCACCATCCAACTCCAGAGTGACTCTTAAGAGATTTTAAGTGGCAGTAAAGAAATAATTTCATGAATTCTATGGATCACATCAGAACAAGCTTCTTAAAAATGAAATGGGGACAGTAGATAAAGGTAATAGGTTAGTATGCTAAACTGAGACAAAATAAAGAAAGCAAGACTTGTGTATTTTTTGCTATCAAATCACCCATACAATTATTAAAAACTGCTTAATACCTACTCATTAATCTAGTTAAAACTTCAGTTTTTAGAACACATATATCATGCAACACAACTGAACTTCTTATAACTTTTTAAAGCTCATCTCATTATATGCTACTGTAAAGAAGGTGTCCTATCCTCTTACATTATCTCTCCTTCCAAGATTAGCAGGTCTGATCAAAAAGCTCGGTCTTAATTCTGCAAGAAAACAACCAAGCTCAGAGAGCACCTCTCATGCATGTAATTGTGAGAGTTTACGTTAATCCCCAGTTTATTTATTTATTTTTGTATTCTACATTTCATAAACCAACCAAGGTTGGTAAAACTATCACACACCAATGATATAAATCGACTAATACTAATCAATCTACTAAATACAATCCAAGTGAACAATTCACCACAGATCCAGCCATAATTCATGGGCAATTAAGTGCTCATGAATTCCTGTCTAAATTAATCTTAACTGGGTTTCCAAAATCTTGTGCACTTTGATTCAAATATTAACTGAGCCCAACTTCTTTAAGATCAGCCACTGCCAATGAGATGAGATCACTTCCTGCACTTATAATGATGAACCACCATGAATAGTCAGTGAAATAAGAATCAAATGTGCCAATACCACAAACTTATTTTAGCCATTCTCCTGTGTTGTATGGCTCTCGGGGAAATACTTTCAAAACCATGCCCTCTTTTCATCATTCAGGTGAAAACCAAACACGTTTATATACATAACATTTAATTTTCAAAGCAATAATTATTGCTTTCCTCGCTTAAATGAAAGGTCTTTCGATTTCCCCTCCCCGACAAATCTATTCATTTTGCGATAGCCTGTTTTTAATTGGCTCATGAAATCAGATATGTAAATACATCATCTCTTGGTTTCCTTTTCCTTTTAAAAAATGCATATTTAATCTCACCAAGAATCTGATTGCACACACCACAAATTTGGAACTCAAACGTATGTGGAAACTTTCTCTAGGAAGATGACTAAGATGAAGGAAAAATTACTTTTTATACTTGAGACTCTGCTGGGGTTGGATTGTATCATGTTAAAGTCTGCTTGTTTTTTCTTTTTTGTTAAAGATATACGTGCAGAAAATAGTTGTGTTCAAAACAAACCATGGCCTCAAACTATAAAACAGCAGGCTGTATATTAGAAAACACTTTGGCACATGTGCTTAATAGAATCAGATTACTAACTGGTCTCTCAAGGAAGGCTAGCAAGGACAAAGAGACTAAAAGCTTCAGAACAGGAACTGCAGTATTTTTAAAAACAAACAAAAAAGATTTTTTTAAAAGGGAGAGGGAGAGAGAGAGCTTCTAATAGCATTGAGACTAATCCTAATAAAAAGTTCTGGATCTCCAAAACACAGAGTCTTCTCTCCAACCTTTGCCACGCATTTCCCAAATAATTAGAACTTCCTGGATTTAGTGTTTACCTTTTCCCTTATCACAGCAGGATGGACCCACCCGAAAGCAAAGAGACGGCCTATATCCTGATAGCACACACAGCTTTTTTCCACAATAGCCCAACTGTGAAAGGCAAATCCACAGAGAATTATTTCTACTGTAACCACAAGAACATTTTATTTGTATCCTGCCTTTTTTATTTTTATTTTTACAAATAACTCATGGAGGCAAACATCCAGCACACTGTCCTATTTTCTTCACAAAAATTCTGTGAGATGAGTTGGGCTGAAAAAGAGTGACTGACCCAAAATCACCCAGCTGGCTTTCATGGCTAAGGCAGGATTAGAACTCACCAGCTCCTGGTTTCTAGCCTGGTGGCTTCACCATTAAACATAGGCAGCCAGCAGCAGAAATTCCTTTTGGCCCAACTCAAGGGAACATGAAACTCTCCAGGTCTGATGTGGATAGGAGAGGACACAGAAAGGAAGGTCACAGAGTGCACATTATATTTTTGATTTACGGCTGTCATTTACAGTAGATTGACCCCCACTTGTTATGATTCACCAGTCTCAAAATATTTAGGATGCATGTTTTACCCGTACACACATGTATAGAGGACTCCTCCAAAGAACAAGCAGAGACCCAGTATTGGAACACTGAATTGGAACCATAGTTAATTTGCTTTGCAGAAGTGGTTTCAATACTTGGGGTTATAAAGCAATCCCTTAAGGGTCAGGAGGAAAAGTATGTTTGCTTTTCAGCATCAGGAATAAGGATACATCAATTTCTTTATATTTTTGGAGTGTTGGTGGAATGGGTGGGAGAACAAAGGAGGGAACTACAAACTGTGGATGCAAAATAACTATTTTAAATGGGAAAAAAAATCCTAAATGGAAAAGATCTACTGCTCTTTGTCACTGAATAGAATAGTATTAACTTCTCCGTTAGGGATACTGCTTTGATCAACAGGATACTTCGGGATTAATGTTTCTATAACGAAAGAGTTAAGAAAAGGTTTTAAACCTTTTTTGTCCATCCTTACAAAATCTTCAAATTGTTTCTAAAATAAAATGAGACTCCTCATGACAATTATTATTATTATTATCATTATCATCATCATCATCATCATCATCATCATCATCAGACTTATATACCACCCTTTCTCCACAAGGACTCAGGGCGGCTCACAGCTATAAACAAGTCCAATTAAAATTCAACAATAAAAACTAAAATTCCCATTAAAACCCCATTCAGTCCAGGCCAGCTTGGCGAAACAGCCATGTTTTAAGGTCACGGCGGAAGGAGCGAAGGTCGGGGGCTACCCAGAGCTCCAAGGGGAGCTGATTCCAGAGGGTAGGTGCGCCCACAGAGAAGGCTCGCTCCCTAAGGGCCATCAGCCGACATTGTTTGGCCGACGGGACCCCAAGTAGGCCCTCTCTTTGTGAGCGCATGGGGCGATGGGGAGCTGTTGCTGCCCACTGGTGATCCGCCAAATACCCCGGGCCTAACCCATGTAGGGCTTTATAGGTAATCACAATGGTATGGATTTCCTCATTAAACTAGCACATCCACATGGTAGCCTTCTTCCCTATCAGTTTTCTCACAAATTTTTTATTCACACTATACCGAGAAACATTCTTTTGAATATTTGTCTAAACTGACTTTATACATCCCTTAGGTTTTCCCTTTTACTAGGAGCCTCCAAACTTGGCAACTCTAAGACTTGTCAATTGGCTGGTGGGGAAATTCTGGAAGTTGAATTTCCAGAATTAACTTGCCAGGTATGGACACCCCATCCTTATACTATCAGGCTTCTTTCAAACAGCCATCAATCCTATTCTTTTACTACCTGCTACTAATTGTTATTCATAGTCCTAAGAAGAATACATTAATAGCCAGTTCAAAAATAGTTCAATACAAGTGGCACAGCAACCAGAAACAAAACAAAAAAGTGAAGCAAAAAACTTCACAACAATTACTATTTTTACCTTTGCTTTTCTCTTTATATTCAGATAATTCAATTGTGAAGAGACTATAATGTCTGGACAGTCATAATCAGACTATCTTTAAACAGACTAAACAGAAATCATTTCCCAAATAACAGTCCCTATTAACTGCTATCTTTGTTTTTGCATTATAGCCAGGCAACATCTGGCTGCTGCGTACATTAGGACAAATAATCCCACCAATTCCACTGTTCTGCCAAATAAAAGTTGGCTTACCGCTTTAGAGAACAAAAACCAACTATGATGCTTTTCCAAAGTAGAAAAAGGACAACTTAACACTTTCATGATTTGATTCCTGAACCACCCCTGATAATTTTTATATGCAGCTAAACCTGTTCTGAGACAGATGCCAATTCTTGTCACTTTGGTCCAAACAGAATTAAAGAGAGGCATAATCGTAATTTATTTTCTCTTTAAGCGTTAGACCACCAAATTTTACGCTGACAAATGAATTTCCAGATCATACAGTTTCCTTTATGTAAATGGGGCCTAACAACAGGAAATAAAGCAGTATCTAAATTTCAAAGCCTACACAGAGGTTCCTACACAAAAAAATTGGTCCTTATTTTTAATCTCTGGAAAGTAAAATCACAACTATCAACCGCTCCTCTATAAAGCTTAAACAGTGGAAACCTAGCACATATTTGGGCAGGGGTGTGCAAAAAGGGTTCTCCCACATTATTTAGTATCTTGATAATTTTCCAAGAGAAGAAAATGTGTTATACAATTCTTCAAAAGCAGGCAAATAGGTATTTGAATCCAAGAACGAATGCCATCTTGCCACCAAAATATATTTGCATATATATTTTCACTGTTCAAGTACAATTAAAAACATATACACAAAATCAATTATCAAGATGCATCTCATTACTGAAATGTAGATGCTGATATATATGGCACATAATAATACTACAAATTATTTCAGAGTCTAGAATGTGGGATAGAAGACTTTTTTAAAGGCAAGATTTCACATTTAACTCCCTTTTCTGTTCCATATCACAAGAATGCTCTTCACCCAGTTGTATTTATCATTTTGATTGCACTGAGAGAGAAAGAGAACAAACATATGGCTAATTCGCCCTTCTTGCGGTTGGCAAAATAAACATTATACAGTACTAAGAAAGGTCAATAGTTCCTATCAGGTTCCTATATTTGGTCCAATAAAAATCTCTTGTTTCTCCAAAAGGAAATTCCAAGTTCTACAAGGATACTGGGGAGCTGGAAAAAGCACTGAAAACTTCCTTATATATTAGCTCTTGCAATTTAACAAATTTAATCCAACTGTATCGACATAAAGCAAGTGCTGCTGGGAAAAACCAATATCCTTTTCTAATTACAAAACCTCAACTGATCCCAGGTTTCCAGTTAAGTAGCATCCTTTGCTGCCACCTGCCCCTCACAAACAAAGCCAAACCTTCTGCATTTTTTTCGTACTACTCTGTCAGTTCACCCACAATTTGGTATTACTCCATCAACTCTAGCTGTAGCTAGGTATTAACGGGTACTGAATTTTTTTTTAAACTATTTTTTGCAGAACTTCCTTCATATAAAGAAAAAGTACATATACAAAATATAAAATATATTAAAAGCATAATAACAAAAAATAGGAACTGGGGTATTTAGACCCAAAGTAGGAAAACTACTTCAGATCTTATTTGGGCACAATCATGTATCTATCAGCAGTTCCTTTAAAAAAATTGGCCCTTTTCTTGGAGCTCACATGATAGTCACCAGGACCCCCAGAAAACCCTGGATGTGTTTGAGTTGAGACGACAAACACAATCACAGAGCAGTAATAGGGCAAGTCCATTTCATGTGAACAAATGTCCCATTTTAGACTTACATTGCAACAAAATGAATATTCAGCTTTTAAAACTGTCTGGTTTGTACCACCCAGAATTTGTCACAGTAGATATTGAAAAGGGATGTTAGAAAACTAAGTTTATTTCTGTGGTTGGGCAATGTAGCAAGTCATGTTATTTCTACAGAATTAGGATATGCAATCCAGATCAGTAGAAGTGCTTTGAAAGTCTCACTAACATTCCACAGAACCTTGTTTGCCAATACCAGGAACTGGCCCTGCGCTGAAAGCAGATCAGCAGCAACCACTGGCTTTGTTACCACACAGAGAATACCACAATGGCTGCTATGGTAAAAGCAACAATTTCTGCCACATCAGTCTTTGAAGGGATAATATGCAGCTTCTAGTCTAACAGGAAACCACCAAGTTCTGGAACTTGGTGTCTGGCAATTTCATTGGCCAAACTAATACAGAAGTCTCAAAACGTTCAGCTATTTGTGGGCTGAACTTTCTACTTCAGCAGTTCTTCATGTTTTTTATGGAGAGTTATTTGTGCATTGGCCGGTTTTATACCAAGTCAGTAGTTTAGCATCTGAAACCACTCCTATATGGAGAGGCAGAGAAGCATATCTTCCTTCTAGCATATTAATTATATTCACCCATTGTAGTAATAGCAATAATGTGGTTTGTTTGGCTTGGCTTAGCAGGTCATGTAAATCCAATTGTTTTGGTTAAGCCCGTTTTACAGAAGTTGAGTGAACTGCGGCTTACTCAACACGATGATTGAATAAGCCATGACCTAGTAATACTGTATGAAGCCAACCATTTTCTTACAATGGTGGTTTCCAACCTTTTCACTGAAATCTTTGTAGGATTACCACAAAAGTCTAGGTGAGCAATGCAAATCCTATGGGCACCCAGGCACAACCAACCCTTTTTCAGATATTATTCCAGGGACTTCAAAATTAATCGATACAAATACAGTTGAAATTTCATGAGATGTTGATGCTCTTCTCCAAATTCTCCAATTCAATCAGGAACACCAATACCTCGTGGGATTTGGTGATCTTACAAGATTTCAACTATTTATGGAGCACCATTAAAGTGAAGTTTAAATTTTTACTGGTAAATTAATCTGTTTATGCTATTTGTGAATTGTTTGGTATCATGGAATTATAATTCAGTTTTATTTTTGTTTTCAGTCCAGGATTTTACATTTGGGGCTTTTGTATTGAAAATGATACTGTTCTTGGAAAAGAATTAGTATGACCAATTTTAGCATTACTACTAGTATTTCTTCCAATTCTACCAGTCTTGGTTACCAGGAAAATTACTGATTTAATAGGTTTCAGATATTGACTATTGTAGAAATCTAGTACAAACCCAAACACTGACCAGGTCAACAATCAGATAAAACTGTAAATCTGGAGTTCTTCTACTAATGTTTTTAAAACCTGTTAAAAGACAATGAAATGTCTGGCCAAGCTTTCAGGAACATGTAGTAGCAGATGGGAGCTTAAACTGGCACCCCATGGCTATATATAAAGCTTCTCCAGGGATAATAGTACAAACAGAAACCAAACATATTCCAAGTAAATATACCCCAGAAAGCTTGGCTGGGGAAGGGGCACAACAAGTAATCCATAATAAGTAATCTTCACCCTTCAGAGTCAGCCCACCACCACCACCACCATTAACTTACCCAGAATATAAAGTTGAAGAAAAACATTAGGTATTTAATACATTTCATCCCACCTTCCACTCCCATCTTGCGTTTTTTGTTTGTTTCTGTAGGGAAAAGAACGAGAGAGGAAGGAGAGAAAAATCATTACAGGAATAAGGATAAGAAACAGTCTTTATTAATAAAATGGAGGTTGTTCAAAAAAAAAAAAAAAAGAAGGAAACGGGAAGCTTTCCCGAGGAGGCAGAAACAAGAGACCTGCAATTCCAGGAATCGTGATCAGCTTTACTGAAGGAAGGGGAGGAACCCTGGACGAAATCCTTCGCTTATTATCACTGTAGTAACTCGAGAAAGTTTCGACGGAAAGAGCAAGCAGGCTAAAAACAGGACACGTCCCGACGGCCAAGAAGTTCCCAATCCGGGACAACACCCAAACTTCCCGTCCTCCCGCCCCACCTTGCTCCCTGACGTAAGCCCCAGCGCTAAACCCCGTAAGTGCCGACTCCCCCGCCCAAAAGCCGGTCCTTTCCCACCTCCCACGTTCACCCCCCACCCACCGCCTCCCTGGAAATGTTTGTGTGTGTATTAGGGAGGGGGGGCAAGACGGGGAGTGAGTGAGTGAGGGGGAAAAGGATCCTTGAGCAGCGTGGCGACGCGCCCTGCCTCGCCGACCTAAAACCACGTCCGCTCCTTAAGGGCGTCGGGTCCCCTCCCGCTCCTCCCTGCCCTCTCTTGCTAAGCGGCAGCAGATTTCACAACCCGGAGCCTCGAGAGAGGGGAGGGTGGCCGGAGAGAGGGAGGGAGGGGGAGGACTGGGGCAGAGTGGGGAAAAAAAAAGCCCCCAAGTAGTTGTCCAAGGCAACTAGCGGACATCTCCCACCCCCTCCGACTGCATTTCCCCCCCTTTCTCCTTTCTCGCCCGCTTTTTCTTTTCCGAGACTGCCATTCAACCCGTACCCCCCCCCTTCCCTCTCCCCCCCCTCCCCACTCTCTTGTCCTTTGGCTTACCTTCCTCCTCTTCAATCAAGGGAAAAAAACAAAATAAGAAGCCCGCACCGACAGGCTATGGACGGAGTAGTAAAAAGCAAAGCGTCGCTTCTCCGCGTCTTATACTTAGCCTCTGCCCTCCCTCCCCGCGTGCGCCTTCTGACTCCGCGGGCGTCACTTATTCCTCGGCTCCGTCCCCTCCTCCTCTCCCCTCCTGCGCCGCCCTCCGCGAGAGGGAACCCAGCTGCCGGTCATGTGAAGGGAGGGGGTGAAGGAAGGGGAAAAAAAAAAAAGGTGGTTGGGGAAGCGAAGCCTCAGCAGAGGCTCCGCCAACTAAGTCAACAGGACGCGTGGAAGGGGAAGATAGCGGGAGCAGCTGACTCAATCAGGAGTCCGAGGAGCGCCGACTTTCTCCGGCCTTTCCACACACACAAACACACTCCCTCAACACACACAAACTCCCCACCACCACCAACCGCCCGTCAGCCAGGAGGAGCCGCCGCCTTGGGTCTGGCTAGGCAGTGGCGTGGAAGCCGGTGTGGCTCAGTGCGCTCCGTCGGATCCGAATGAGCGGGCTGTAAAGTCGCAGATGGAAAGGCGGCGAAGGGGGAAAAGGAAAAAGCAAACACGGCCAAGGGATTCATAGGAAAAAACTTTCGCCTGAGGGACTCCTGCATCTGCCTTTCTAAATTCACTTTCCTGGGAAGTGTGTCAAAAGTAGTTGAACTCGGTGTACAGATAGTCCTCGATTTACAGCGGTTCGTTTAGTGACCGTTCAAACTTACCAACAGCACTGAAAAAAAGAGACTTATGACCGTTTTTTCACAGTTACGATCTTTTCAGCGTCCCCATGATCACTCGATCAAAATTCAATTGCTTGGCAACTGACTTATATTTATGACGGCTGCATCTTCCTGGAGTCATGTAATCCCCATTTGCAATCTGATCAGCAAAGTCAATGGAGAAGCTGGGTTCACTTAACTGGGTTACTAACTTATCAACTGCAGTGATTCATTTAATAACTGTGGTGAGAAAGGTCATAAAATGAGGCAACAGTCACTTAACCAATGTCACACTTTACAGAAATTTTGGGCTCAATTGTGTAAGTTGAGGACTACCTGTATTAATTGCTTCAGGAGTGGGACATTATGTAATACAAGTAATCCTCAACTTACAACAGTTCGTTTAGTGAGTGTTTGAAGTTATAAGGGCAATGAAAAAAGTGACTTACGACCATTTTTCACACTTAACGACCATTGCAGCATTCCCATGGTCATGCCATCAAAATTCAGATGCTTGGCAGCTGACTCATATTTATGACGGCTGCAGTGTACTGGAGTCACCTTTTGCAACCTTCTGACAAGCAAAGTCAATGAGGAAGCCAGAATCATTTAACAACCGTATTACTAATTTAACAACTGCAGTGATTCACTTACTAACTATGGCAAGAAAAGTTGTAAAGTGGGGCAAAGCTCACATAACAAATGTTTCTCTGAGCAACAGAAATTTTGGGCTCAATTGTGATCGTAAATCGAGGACTAGCTGTACCTAGTTTTGTCCCCATGAAAACAACCCTGCAAGGGAGATTGGCCTGAGAGATATTGACTAGCCCCCAAATCATCCAGTGAGCTGAAGGTAAACTTCCATGGAAGTCTCCCAACCTGAATTCAACATCCAATCACTACATTACATTGGCTTCTAACCTCCTTCCTCCCTGGCTGGGTTAGGAATTGTAGTTCAAAAAAAAAAAAAATTATGGAAGTATACAATATGTCTCACCTCAAAGTTTTAATTTCTTTGGACTGTTTTCTTAATTCCAAAAACTTGTCTGGGTGTGTATGATCGCCTTTTTAAGACTTGAAAGACCAGGTTAGGGACAAATCATCATGGAGAAAAATCTATGTGGTTGCTAAAAGACCATACCAACTTTCTCCTTTCAGAAATGCTTGATGGCTGGCTCTGCTGGTTGCTTCAGGCCCACAGAGAAACATGCAGCCATGTGGCCTTCTTAGTTTTTATGTCATATTTGGACACCTCCCAGAGTTGCTGTGTATACAAGGCAGATGGTTGGCTTCTAAATATGATATAAATAAAAATAAAAAATGAGATGGGGAATAACTTTCAGCATATTTTTAATAGTTGTGCAGAAGATGGAATTTGACCACATAGAATTTTTATTTTCCTAAATCAGTATCCTTTCCCATCAAGACTGCCATATCAGGATTCTCAGACAACATTTGTCGGGGACTGAGTTGATTCAGAACTGCTTTGGAAAGAGTGATACAAGTAATCCTTCAATTTATGACCACAATTGAGCCCAAAATTTATGTTGCTGAAACAGTTAAGTGAGTTTTGCCCCATTTTACAACTTTTCTTGCCACAGCTGTTAAGTGTATCATTGTAGTTAAGTTAGTAACTTGGTTATTAAGTGAATCTGCTTCCCCATTGACTTTGCTTCTCAGAAGATTGTAAATGGGGATCACATGATCCCAGGACATTGCAACTATCATAAAAATATGAACCAGTTGCCAAGTGTCTGGATTTTGATCATGTGACCATGCGGATGCTGGAATGGTTGTAAGTGAAAAACAGATAAATGTCTCTTTTTCCAGTGCCATTGTAACTTTGAACGGTCACTAAATGGACTGTTGTAAGTTGAGGACTACCCATATCATATGTTTCTTAACTGTCTTCTCCCTTTAAATCTGATTCAAGAATTCAAGTGAATCATTAAAAAAACAATAATTTAGACCTGAGGGAGACAAGGCCAAAAAATTAGATTGAAAGAAGGGATCAGTATCTATAGCCAAATTAGCCCTTTTAAAAAAATCACTTTGAAGAATGTTTCTTTGGACTTGTCATGTAAATGGACTAAATTTTTTTTTTTTAAATTTGATTTATATGCTGCCCTTCTCCGGAGACTCAGGGCGGCTTACAATGCGTTAAGCAATTTAAGAAAGAAAGGCATTATGGGTGCAGATGGATAAATGAGACTGGCTTTTAATTGACAGTGGGGGGGGGGAAATACAGAAGCAGAAGTACAAAGAAGAAGTTAACAAATAAACTGCCTTTTGTCAGGCAATGGCTGGGAAAACCAGCCTGACTAGTGTGTAATTTAACTGGCAATACCAGGCTTTCTGTAATAAAGCCTACTGAAGTGTTTATTAAACTACTGTTAATTTTTAATGGCGTTATCAGCTGAGCTGGCAGCAGACAAAGTATAACAGGTCATTTGTACATAGAATGTTTCAAAAGAACGGCTTTGTTCATAAGATTATTAATTGCTTTTGATTACTTTCTCAAGTATAAAACCAAAGGTTGTTAATGTAAAAGAAATCAATTCTTTTAAGGCTAATTTTCAAAATATTACTTTCTCTCTCTAGCCTACCTAGATTAACTAACATGACAATACATATCTGCTAAGAACTCTACATATACCTTAAACCTACTGACTGAATTCCTGATATAATTGTTATTAAGCAAACCATCTGCATTGAATTAAAAGTAAAATTCCCCCTAGAAAGAAAGAAAAAAAAGAAAAACACTCCTGAAAATAGAAGTTTTTCAAGTTGTTTCCAGTCAAATTTACAGCTTCTCATACACAACTCCTATCTGAATTAGGGCAGCATGCTTTCAGGGATTTGTTTTCAATAATGCTCATTAGAATGTGTTTTTGGCCACTGTTATACACAGAGAGGGAAAGAGAATATTTCTTAATAGGTATTTAATTTCAACCAATTCAATGTGAAGCCATTGGCACACCAGTCAAAGCTGAGCAAAGCACCCCTAGCTAAGGCCTCTCTTCCTGTTCTTCTAGCAGGAGCTACAAGTCTAAGTCATGACCAAGTCATGAACCTGCCCCTTCAGGGGAAGTACTTCCCCACCAAAACACCATTGGAGTAGGCAGAGAGCCTTGATGAACAAATCGCAGCTCTGTCTTGTTGGGATTCCATTTTAGCTTGTTCTCTCCTATCCAGACCTTCACAGTCTCCAGGCATCTGATCAGAACTTCAACAATATCATCAGTAGCGTAGTATAGTTTTTTAAATCATTGGCAGGGTATAAAAGCCCAAACTGTTGGATGATTTTCCCTTGTGATTTCACATAGATATTAAACAACAGTGGGGAGAGCATCAATCCCTGTGGCACCCCAAACGAAACAGCCACTGAGCCAATCTCTTCGCCATCCCTCAACTGAAACCATAGATAGAAGGAACAGAATAACTTCAGAATAGTGCCTCAGCTGCCAACCCCTATAGTGGTGCAGAAGGATAGCATGATCAGTGATATCAAAAGGACCTGAGGACCAACATTAGTGCACTTATCCCATCTGGGTACCAACACAAGTCACCCGGTATCACATCAACTCCCCCTTCCCGAAGTTACCTGAAGGAGACACACATGGTGGGGCTGAGGGTCATCCTAGAAAGCAGTCTGTCCAGTTCCTCATAGGTCAAAAAGAAACCCAGGTAATAATTTAGTAAGATGGTGATACAGTCACTACACTAGGCCCTGCCAATGTGGAGTCAACATTGTGTAAAATTCAGCAATATTATTGGCATAACAATGCAATTAATTGATCACATCGGTTGGCCTCACCCTCAGCAAAGCACCCTAAACAAGGCTATTGAAAAGATAGATGTTGGAGAGACAATGAATTAAGGTGATTGTTCTTAGTGCCAGATTAGGCCTAAACATGAAGGGACACGGTGGCTCAGTGGCTAAGATGCTGGGCTTGTCAATCAGAAAGGTTGGCAGTTCAGCAGTTCAAGTCCCTAGTGCTGCATAATGGGGTGAGCTCCCATTACTTGTCCCAGTTTCTGCCAACCTACCAATTCGAAAGCATGTAAAAAATGCAAGTAGAAAAATAGGGACCACCTTTGGTGGGAAGGCAACAGTGTTCCATGCGCCTTTGGCATTGTCATGCCGGCCACATGACCACGGAGACAGCGCTGGCTCTTCAGCTTTGAAAGAGATGAGCACTGCCCCCTAGAATCAGGAACAACTAGCATGTATGTGCAAGGGGAACCTTTACCTTTAGGCCTAAACATGGCGCATATACATCTGTACTCCGACAGATCTACTACTTGTTTTCAATATAATCTCTACATGTTAAATATTATAAAAGCTCTTTGTAAACATTTTCCTGCCATAAATAAAGCAACCTCTAAACAGGACATGTTTCTTTCAGAAAAGGAAACGCCAGAACAGACATACAACTAAAACCTCAAGGCTGCATGCTACCCCAAAAGTTGAGTGCACCGAGATTCTGTTAATGTAATTGTATAATAAAGTAGAATTATCTCATCTGGTCATGTTTCCTGTCTGGTCTACCTGAATGTCTGACATTTACCAAAAAGTCCTTAAACTAATTTCCAGTGACTCTACACTTGTTTAGTGACTGCCTTGTTTAATGACCGCAACTTTGATGATGAAAAATAACTTTATGACCAATCTTCTCATTTATGGCCTTCGCAGGTCTGTAAAGCAAAGAAAACCTGGTAGAGTCACAGTTTCATTTAACTGAGTTGTGGGTCCCAATTGTGTTTGCTAAACAGGAACTTACTTAGATGAGGTTCAACCTCTACTGCAATTAATGTTCAAATTCTTGTGCCTTTTTCTCCTCTTTGCTCAAAATAATAGTGGCTAGAAGCTACTCTCTTTGGGGCAGGATAGATAATTTCTATCCCAATCTTGTTATAACATGTCTCCAACCCTGATAAGTGAACATCTATTATTTTTCTGTTCATAAATCTTGCAAGGACAACTATGTTCAAAGAGTGCGCTCATTTATTTGTATACACATAAACTGTACATCAGAATATTAAATATGCATTTAATGCTAATGCATGTATCAACCTACACTTGCATCTAAAATCTATCACAACTGTCCAGATGTCTCCCACAGCTCTAAATCCATGCAGTTTACAAGGCAATTATGTAGAATCTCCATACAAACAGGTTCCAATAGGAAGGATTTTCTCGACTTATGACCATAATTGAGTCCAAAAATTCTGTTGCTAAGTGAGAAGTTGTAAACATGAACCAGTTGCCAAATATCTGAATTTTGGTTATGCGACCATGTGGATGCCACAACAGTCGTATGAAAAATGGTCTAAGTCACATTTTCAGTGCCGTAATTTTGGTCACTAAATGAATTGTTGTACATTGAGGACTTATTCTGAACCAGTCAGGTGACAGGGACAATAGAATCTGCTTCTGACTCTATGTACCCATTTCCTAGAAATTTGATCAGCTGATGATCTCTAATAGCCACAAGTCTGAGTTAACTTATACTGTAACTATGTTGTATTTAACACTGTATTTAATAAGATAAATCTGTCTTGGATTTCAGAGAACATGTTCTTCTACATATTAGAATACTTTTTTGTGAAGCACTGTTAATTCATTCATAGCATGATTATACTGCTACATTTCAGTAACTTTGCCCAATGATACCCAGTTCTTTATAATGCAGAATGATTAGTAAAAAAAACCCATCACATGATTAGTGACATATATGGAAAAAAAACTCCCCATGATTAACTGTGACTCATGCAATGATGTTCTCTTACCAATGTACTGTATCCTGAAAAGGAATTGCACAATCCCATGAATTTACACATCATGTGTTTAGATTGTTACTGCAAAGTCTGATCTTCTATTTTTGGTTGATATGCAACTATATTGCACTGGTGCAGCCAATTGCCATTTTACAGATTTTGATGAGGTAAAAGAAAAGATAACAGAATTCACATATTGAAAATTTGGGACATTTTTTATCTTTTTCATATAGACTCATTTTCTTATTTCAATTACTAGTATCTAATGGTGAGAGAACAATGATAAAAGAAGTTCCCCTATACTCTTTAGTTGTTCCAATACACCTGCAGTATATTTTGATTTAACTGTAATCTTACATAATAAAAACCCTAGAGTATACAAAACATATTAGTATTGTCTTAATGTTGCTCCATTCTACAGATGCAGTGCATATCTCTATTAAAATACAAGAGAAAGCAGCTAAAACTAAATATGAATCTATCCATGTAAATTATATAGACATAAAGTCTTGAGTTGAGCTTGATTCTTGGGGAGAATTACATCATGTACTTCTTCTGATATCTTTGTTGTTTAATCCCAAACTGATTTGCTACCGCCTTCCTTCAGGTTTACTCAACTTCACAGTCTAGTTCACAATCCCACTGTAGTTTTTCTGGTAACGATGGTCCTTGATTTACAACACTTCATTTAGTGACTGTTCAAAGTTACATCACTTAAAAAAGGGATTTATGACAATTTTTCACATTTATGACAGTTGCACCATCCCCATGGTCATGTGATTTACACTGGTTCATATTTATGGTTGCAGTGTCCTTGGGTCATGCCCCTTTTGCAACCTGACAAGCAAAGTCAACGGAGAAGCCAGATTCATTTAACAACCATGTTAGTAATTTAACAACTGCAGTGATTCACTTAACAAATGGGGCAAAACTCACTTAACAAATTTCTCTTAGCATTTCTCTTAGGCTCAATTGTGGTCGTAAGTCAAGAACTACCTGTAGTCTCCATCCAGTTAAGTTTGGCTAAGTGCTGCCACCTATCTGGGCCTTTACGATTCCACCCACTTTGAAGATCTATTTTTTTCTTCTGGCTCCCTCGAACAGGTTTTTAAGATATAATACCTTTTTGTACCAAGACGGCAACAAAAACAAATTCACAGAGTATTCTTCTCCCACAGAAGAATATGTGCATTATTTTGAATCTGAAACACAACTTTTGCTCACAAAGGATTTTGTATATCCTTCTATTAATAACTCAGCTTTGTAGTAGAAAATGAAGATTTAAAATGCTTTCTAATTTTTCAAACTACAGGAATTGTCGTCACCTATATTTCTTTCCTTGATCTGTTTTTGCTTCTTGAAATTCATAACTGTTCATAAAAGCATTCATTTTGACTTCTTGGATAAGGCCCATAGCAAGATTGCTAAAAAAAGGAAAGCAATGCAACATACATAAAAGTGAAGTATTTATGTATGTGCATTGTTTTTATTTTTTTGTATTGTTGCTATGACCCTTATCCAAGATGTCAGTCTAATCACAGTAGATCAACCTGCAAGAAGCTACTGTAAAATTGTATAAGGTAGCCAACAAAGCAGTTTTCATCTTGCAATCTGTTTGTCAATTTTTGCTTTACATCTAATTTTAAAGTTTATTTTGGTTCTCAAAAACATGAATAAACCCTTCAGTTTATTATGCGTATAGTTGCAATGATTTATGACCATGTCTGACTACCATATACTCAAATACAGGTACAATTTTCTGTTTCTAAAGGCGGAAAAGAAGTAAAAAATATTCATCACTCTGCATCCTGTTTTATTAGTTATTTTGCTAATATGCTTCTTTTGCCAAGAACAGGTGACCTACATTTAAAGCATTTTTATATCATTTGCACATAGATTGCTGGAATGTGATAATGAAAATGTTTAAGAAACAAAATACTCATACCAGTTTTTTTTTTTTTAAAGAGTCTTTTTGTGTGTGGGGAATATAACTATTAAGTTTCCATAACTATGTTGTATCTTCTAATTACTTTATAGAGAAATAGTAGAAGAGGAACTTTATTTTCAGTTGAGGCATATAGTATCCCTTTAACAATCATCACCCTCTTCCTCTTCACAACCGTTGTGTTTCAAAGAGTAGTTTGAAAGAGACATGACCTAACAGTTTCCCAGAGGAAGAGGAAGGATGATTCTGATAGTGAGAATTCTGGTAATGCAAGAGGGGAACCCTTTGTCTTCTCCATATGGCTGAAGTAATATTCTAGCATTATTCATCACTGAAAATGCTGGGGAGCCTACATTATTGCATGCAATATTCCAGAATAGTTTTTCAGAAAACCTGAAGAAATTTCACTAAACACAGCTCTACAACTGATGGAAAGTTTCAGTCATGGAGCCTTTATTCTATTCAGGTTTAATGGGACTCTCTACAAAATAATAACTTATCTGTAATATAATTGCAATTGAGCAGCTGTAACAATTTTATATTTTATTTTTTATGTGAGCTGTGAGTTGTCTTTTTCTTGGCATACAAATATGTTCAGGAAGCAAAATGACACGAAAGATAACACATAGGTCAAGGAATTGATTCAAGTTTAATGAATGAAAAAAAGGTATAAAGTTGTCAAAGTGTACATTTGAAAATGCTGCCAATAAGAATCATCAACACTGGAGCATACATAAACTACTTTTCTACTTCTTCATCTCCATCTTTACATCACTGATCAACAAAATGCTATAGGATTGATAAATAGCATTTTAAAAAAATACTTACCGGTTTCCCAGACCTGAAATGATTCTCTTGATTTCTGGAATTGCTGGTGTCTGCAGGACTATATAAGTTGCATTTATTTGATCAAAACAAGATCAGAGGATCTGTTACAATATTCAAACTAATAATATACTTCGATGGATCATCAATCTCACTGCAAAGCCGAAGTCCAATAATAAAAAGGACAAAAGTCTGCTGTTTCACACAACACAGTATTATTTATATTAATGCAAATAAACGGCCTATGTATTGTGTGCATTGTTTCAAAATCCGGAGGCTTGTTATGTAAATCCAAGTAAAATTAGAATTAACAGATATGAAATAGTATGACTCTAAGTCAGTACTAACATATGGTTTATTTTGTACTACCATAGCTTGAGATGTATTATAACTGCAAATTAAAAAACAGGTGCTAATGCAATTTTAATAGCATTATTAATAGCAGAATTAATGTGTGAATTATTACATGAATGTTCAACTATGAAACTACACAATGCACTTGCCTCTGCCACTAGGTGTTCCTTTAACAATCAAAATTTTTGCAAACTTCTAAGCATTTACACTCTGGACTCAATATAGGTACCCATATAATGAGATTCTGGTGACAACTGCACCACCAGAAGAGCACATGAATTCACACACTAATTAAAGTGTAACTTTTCTTAGTTAAAGGGTGCAGATAAGGAAAGAATTCTTATTTCCTCAGAAAGATAGTTATTTAATAATATCCCAGGATATTGAAAAGGCAATATCAATGATAGTTTTTCTGTATCCCCCCCCCGCCCTCCTCCCCAATCAGCGTAAAAGTAGTTAAATCTTAGGCAGGGATATGCAACATCTTTCATGCATGGAATACTGTAGTTGATTTCAGATTTGTGATTAAATGAAAAAAATATATATTTGAATGTTCAATGCCTGGAACAAAATGGAGCTGTTCTGAACTGAGCAGAAATGAATTATGGGAGGTAGAGGAAAAAGCTAAGGATATCAGTAGCTGAATTAGGTAGACCAGGAGGCAGGGGCAACAAGGGCAGACCAGCCAGTGGGATATTTTGTGCTGGGACACCGGCAACAGCAATGGTTAACAAAAGCAAAGGCAGAAGGTGCTGGGAAGACTGGAGCTTTTGATCCTTATGAAACAGCAGATCCGAAACAGTTCAGCAGAACTCCCCTGGAACATAATTTCTTCTAGGTTTAAAACAAAATTTCCCTCTATTTTATGTATATTCTTTATCTTATGGAATTTAGAATTCTGGACATCAGTAAATACAGTGCTCAAGTGTAGCTTGCTTATAATGGTAATCACATCAGTACAGTGACTATATCCTCAAAAATTGTACTGCCTTCACATCTATGCTAAGATGATAAATAGGGTGTATTTCTGTAGACAGCCTTTATTCATAAATTAGTTTGTTCATAATGAAATTATTTTTCTGATGTATCTATTAATATGGAATAAATACTTGAAATAGTTCTACATCCTAAGCTATTAGTTAGTTTTGAAAATTGGGGTAATTTTTAGTCCCATAACCCAGCACAACATAAAAACCTCCCACGTTGGTAACAGAAAATGGTTACTTTCAGCTGCATTCTAATTCAACCCTAAAGCAAATATTACTGATGTGGAATAATCAATTAGTAAGAATCGAATTCAAGTGAACTAAATTATATCAACTCTGGTATATTTTATTTAACCTTACAATGCGAGTTTTAAGAAAAATCTATTAAACCCTTTGCTTCTAGGTGGAAATTTTGGCAAAAAGAAATTCCATCACTATGGAACAGCCATTGTTTCATAAACACGCCACAGATGGCATTGAGAAGACTGAAAATGCAAAGAAGCAACAGTGTCATATACATGGAATGCTTAGGAAAAAAAACATATTTGTGTAGTCATGTTATAGTCTGTTGTAGATAATCCTTACTTAAAACATTTAGATAACTTGAGCTGCTACATTTACAGTAAATGTTTATAAGTAGCTGAGATGATAATGTTGGCTAGACAAAGCAGAAAATTAAAGATATGGAAACATGCAATTCCAATGAGGTGCAACTACAGCTTCACACAAACCACCAATTTAAGTAGTACAGCAGTGCTACAAAAACATTTACTTGAAAGAATACTAGATACCCAGAAGCAGCTGTAAGAGAGATGAAACTACTTGAGTGAGAACAGCTTATATTCTGTAGAGTTGTCAATTAGGGGCCTAGACTTCAGAATATAGTGAATAATAACTAAAAGCCCATCATAGCAAAGATGTGCTTCTCATCAATAACGCTGGTAGGCGTATTTAAGGAGAAAGAATCAAATATTTCATTTATGCTTTTCTGTTTATGGCAAAAATATCTTGTGTTTCCCCATAAATGACAAGATTATTTTTCAACCAACTCCTCAAATGGTTTCCAACTTCAAAGAAGTATATCACTTTAGTCTGACTAAAATAAATCCATACACTAACCCAATTTGCCTATATATTGCAATCCTTCACTCCCTTTTGTAATGGGAGCTTATGTGTCTTAGTTTTAGATGCAGGAAGATATTTCCCTCCTAATGTTACTAGTGACTTCATCCTCATGTACTAACATATTATTTGTAGTACAGGATTTCAAACAAACATCACGGTACTTACAGATTAAACTAACCTGTACTGGCAGTGCTGGGATTTTTTCTTCTCTACCAGTAAGAAGCAAATGCTGAAATTCTGCTGCTAGTCAACAAAAACACAAATTATATTAAACAAAAAGGAGCTTAAATCATGATTTAAGTTTAAATTGTAAAAATCAAACCCCAGGTTTTATACTTATTTGAAGAAAAAAAATCCTCATGATTTATTAGCCAGTTAAACACTTGACTGTTAAATGGTTGTTGTGCTATGATGTGGAAATCTTTTTAAGAGCTTCAGTGAAAACTCTGTTCTTCCATCACTTCTAACACATACATGGAACAATTAAACCCTCAAGAATGGTTTGTGCAGAATAAAAATAGAATCACTGGTTGAATTTGACCTAAAAACATGCCCCTTTTTAAGATTCAAGATAATTTATTTTCACTCCAAACATTTAGCCCATATTATGCCAAGTACAAAATTTTGAAAGGAACATTTGGCAAGATATGCCAATGTTCAAGAACTGTTAGCAGAGATATATTAGTGACTTTACTGATAATGAAAGGAAATTATCTGCATGACTACACTGTATATCAACACATTTCTGACATAAGTATGTATTATCCTCAGGTGTGACAGTAGTGCAGTGACTTCCATTTAAAAATAAAATAAAAATTAACTGACAATGTGTTTTGAACACAAATTTCAATTATAGCATCTTGTAACTGATTTTCTTTGGATAATTAATGAAAAACTCACAAACACAAAAGCAAGCCTACAAATTGACTTTAACTTCACAACAGAGCACAGTAAATTGAAATCTTAAGGTCTCAGCTGAAATGTAATACCAAACTTGTAAAAAATATGAAGTAGAATACATGGTTTTTCTATTTCAGTAATACTCAATTCTTTTATTCCGTTTATAATTGCTTGGATATTTTTGTAGCTGAAACACCATTAATCTATTTCAGACAGCAAGATGTCTGATATCTTTTAATGCTCTTCAGTGCAGTAAATATTTTAGAAGCAACTTTATAGTTTCTTATAAATTGTGTATCACATTTATGGATAATTTGTAGATATAGCATTTTAATTATATAAAATATTTTTCATTTGGGAAATGATTATCATAATGCAAATCAATCAAATGATGTCTGGACATGCAATTTTAATGCCAATTATGTGTTTCTGTTAAAACCTAGGTTAAAATAATGAAAATGGCCAAAATCAAAGAACTATATTAATTACTCAAACTGTTGCTTGCCAAATAGGGTTGTTAGTAAAATTAACCTATAATATACTTAGGCTATTGGTCTAATTATAAATTATTTGAAGTATCTTTTTAGATTTAGACAAGGTGAACATTGCATTCCGGCAGCAACAGTCCAACCCAAGCAAAGCTGTTTCCTAACATACAATCAATTTCTACAGTTTCACATAAACACAAGCACCATCAATACAACAGCATTATTTGTGACACCAGATTAGGTTGGATTAAAACAGCATTCTAACCATGCATGTATCAATACATGCATACTTATCAATATATTTTCACAACAGTTGTCCTCCTAGAACTCTGAAACCACTGCTTAAACTTTGAAAAGAAACATCTCAAAACTAGAACTCTTACAGGGAAATTGAGAAAGGAGATGTACAATGTGGGAATTGGTGGTACCTTCTCTTTGAATTGTCGACACAAACCCCAAACTGCTTTTTCAGAAGAGTTTGGGTAATACTTTGAAATTCTGTGGTGATATTTGTCACAGAATTGGTAGAACATTTATTTTCAATGATCAGAACGAATGAGTCAAAAAATTTCAAGGCGTTAATTCCTGGTTATATTGTGATTAAAATGGTCAAAGTTGTCCAACAAGAAGCATTTATCCATACTATTATAACTATGTACACTAGTTGAAAACTAACGCTTAGACTAGAAAAAATCAGTGGTGTGTAATAAAACAGACCTAATGTGGATAAAGACATTCAGTGTTAATGACACGTTTTTGCGTTCCCTATTTACCAAGTAATGACATTCTAAGCTGAGGCATTTAGATCAAGAGGCATTCTTATATATTTTTGTTATGATATAAAGACAAAAAGAACATTATTAACATACTGACTTTCTAAACTCTTATGGTTTGTGTGTTAAACACTGAATAATAATTTGAATGCAATTCGTACTAAGTTGACAAAATCATATGGAAAATTCCCAAAATTAATCTGTCCAAAATTTTAGAATAACTCACAGATGGTTCTGGATACCTGTGAGAAAAATAACAGGGATCCAACCATGCTATTAAACATAACAACATCAATAGCTTTAAACATTTAAAACCTCATCAAGGTAAGCACATTATGTCTGTAGTTATTAGATACCAGAAAAACTGGAAGCTGGAAAAGCAGTTTGAGGACTCTGAAGAAGACCACATCAGGGAAAACCATGACCAACGAGCACAATACTTTTCTCAGATTTTCCCTTTAGAAGAGCTTTCGTGTCAGATCCCCAAGCTTTTTTTAAAATTCAATTTTAAGAAGCAGTTTGAGGCTCTGCAAGGGCAAGTGAAGAGACTGCCAGGAAAATCTGGATTTTTCTGTAGATAGTCTAACTTTTGAAGCTGTATTTGTTTCAAGAGCTGTTGCTCTTATAAGCATTCCTCAAAAATTACCTTGTTACTTTAAAACAAACTACATCTTGTGCATGTTTTACAAGAAGTCAGTAAGACGATTTCTATTGAAGCATTCAAATAACACTGAAAATGCTCAAATATATTTTTCAGAGCATATAGATTTTGCAAATTGTTTATCTTGAGAAGAAAGGGCGATAAAGAAATGGTTTCCTTGTAAATATTTACCCCGTTTTTCCATCTTACAAAACTCATATCTACATTTTTCTTCACTCTTCAGGCTCTACATTAATATTTATGATAAATAATTTAAAATAATTTAAATTTAGCTTAAGCAAACATTTACTCCAAATCTCAGAAATAGGTATCAATGAAGAAAGCATAAATTGTAACACAGGCAATTTCTTAAAATACTAAACACAGGTAACAGAACTCTTGAATCTCATTAATTTATCACAATATTTTAAAAATGAGTTGTTGTTTAAAAAATGGTTCCACTGACCAAAATTTCAGAGGGGATATCAAGGAGATTAATATTTCAGCAAATGTTTACCCCACGTTAGGACTTCTTGCTAATAGTAAATTGAAAGCACCAGTGTTACTATATCAATATTAATATAGAGCCCATCAAAATATTATAAAAATCCTATATTAAATTAAACATAGGAGCCTTCACCAAACTTGCTGCAAGTTTGGGGACATAAATATCCAACAGCTATAAAGCTGTGAAAGCCCCTAGAATGAATAAAATAAATCCCACTTGCCTCAGACTGAACAGGGCAACACTGAGACTCTGCCTCAGCCTGTCCTATGGCAGGGCTATAGGAAGAAGAAAATTTAAAATTTTAGAAAAACATGATCCAATTAAGGCTAAAAGTACATGCAATCAATAGTAACAGAATTCCAGTGATCAAATAAAAGTTTGGTCTCAAAATTTTAGGTCCATATGTGACATGGAATTTATAAATCAGAGTTGACTTCTATAGGGAAAAATTTCCAATTGAGCTCGCCTTAAAAATTGACAATTGCTGTGTAACACAGCAGGTGTTGTAAGCAATGGAATATTCTATACTAATTCAGTACAAGTTTTTAAATGTTAGAACATCCATCTGCTTTTCAAAAATGTATACCATTTATGTAAGTAGCTAGACCAGTACAATTATTAAGACAATTGTAATATGTATTAATAAATGCCAGGACTATGCATTTTTATTTAAATATAAATAAAATCAGAATTCAAAATTATGTTCTCATATTTCTTTTTCACTATGGCCAGTGAATTATTTTATTTTAAATAAGAAAGGTACCTGTTACATTCTATACTGTTTGAACCCAGGCTACAGAGAAAACAAAATAAATAAGCCCTTATATGCTTAAAAAAAAAGTTTGAGTATCTGAATTCTCCAAAATAAAAATGAACACCTTGATGAAAATGCAGTTGTTCTATTGCAAATTTTATAGTAGGAAACACAACCTTATTTCCTGACAGAAACCATGTGACCCTTTCCCAATCAGGAGTAGACAAATAAATCTGCCCCAGGAGAGGAAGAAAAGATCTACTGGCTCCATAATGTCCTCTCCCACTAAAAACAAAGTAGGTATTAACAAGCCAAGTATACAGTACAAGCAGCACTCAATTTTTCTGCAGTGCTAAAGGAACAATACAACCACTGAAACAATTAAAATTCTTATCAAAATATGCTATAACTAAAAGTATACAGTTTTAAGTTAAGCAATTGATACTTCTCGACTGTTTCTAAAAAACTCATGCGATGTAATCCATGCTTCCAGAAAAAACTTTTTGGCGAGTCATGTAAAAAACTTTCTATTAAATTTTGCAAAAGATTCTTGGGAAAAATCGCATGAACCATCGTATGAACTGAAAACTAGCAAACAAATGGCACAATCAAAAGAAGCTGTATGCTTCCACAAACTTCAAAGGTAACAGCTATTTAATAAGCCATTTTTAAACTGAGAGTTGCTTGCCACACTAATAGAAGAACCTGTATGAAGCAAGTTCCAAATATACCAGCTATTCTCATTCATAAGTTCTTTGGAAGATGGTTAAGATATCTAACTACACAAAGGCTGCTGCAATGGGGCAAAAACAGCCAAGTGATCACAGTTGCCTATTTTTATATCTTCTATGAAAAAATAAGTGATCAAATCAGAGACACACATATTTAGATTGCCAATTATAGTTCTGTGTTTAATGAGTATTAAGAAAAAAAGGGACCTATATAGAGAATTAATAAGACTTTGTGAGTACTACAAAGCCCAGAATTTTCAAATATGAACCAATAGTGTGGAAAAAACTAATTAGCAGTAAAATTCAGACATTGATAATTGGTGGTATTAACATGTGTAACTGCTATTGGAGCAGAAAAACAAAATATTTCATTTACAATATCAATTAATAAAGAATACCCAAGGATATCTTCTTATACCTGGCTCTCAAAGAAAGGTTTCACCACATTAGTATCAGATATAAAACTAGAAGATTAAAAATGAAAGGCCTAAAGTATTTGGACAGTCTCCCAAATATGCTACACTTTTTAACTTACAATCAAGAGGAACTCATTGCCACCTACTGAAGGAAAGAATTGTGTTCCTACTTTCCAGTTAAGTTTCATAAATGGGAATCAGCCCCGTTAAAGAATCAGCTAAAATTTCACAGCAATTCCAGTGTCCTTTGCAGAATATGATCCTGTCACGTAGGCCTAAGCCTCTAAAAGTCTAATAAATCATGTCATGAAAGATATATTGGAAAACTTCAGCTGTATTGTAGTTGTTAACTAGACCAGTCATCACTTTCCAATTTTTAGCAATGTCTTTCTCTGCATCAGGATTGTTTAAAAAATATGAGATTTTATGACAAATCTATTAGTATATAAACAATGACTGCATGATTATCTAATACCTAAACTTTGTAAAATATTACTTTAAGAAACCTGAGTCAAATAAAAGTATTGCACAATAAAATGTACTTCATAGAAACCAACATATATCAATAACTTGTGACGAGCAAATTTTAATCAACTGAATGGCAAACCCTTAAAAATCCATGAAGAAAATTTGACAAATTTATTTGTTGTGTCTTGTTAATAAGTGTACAGGTCTATGACTACTTGATCAAACAATTCAGGATATATCAATGTAGCATCAGGAATTGTATTGTATTTATTATACAAGCTATAGTAGCATGCATCAGTACAAACCTTCAGGCAGATGTCCACAGCTGGTCATGAATAAAAGGACAATTTTTTTCTTTTGTTTTATTACAATGAAGTTAAACAATACAGAAAATCACATGAATTTAGTGGGTCAATTCTGTAAACCCTGGAACAGGAGGAACTCTACATTAAATATGGCTACACATCCAGATTTAGGTGTACAAGTAGATGACAACAGTTAAAGCCCTCACCAAACTATTGTTGGGGACATGAAGTCCAACAGCACTTGAAGTGCTGTGAAGGCATCATTTATGAACAGCAACATAAGGTTACAGAACTTGCCTTTAAAGATGGTACGTTCATGTAATTCCAGCGCCTTCACAATTTAACGAACCATATTTACTATACTTCACTTCTAAAAACCTAGATGAAACATGAAAAAGAAGCCATACAGTATAAATTGCAACATCAGGGAAAGTTCCGTTTTATTATTCTAAATAATTTTTCCCATGTAAAATAATGTCCAACAGTTCCTTGTATGTGGAAAGATTTTTTCCCCTAAAAGTCACAATGAAGTTTTAATTGATGGAAGCTTGGCTATATTAACAGCACAAGACGAGAAAAGGTTTAATCTCCAAACCTATTAGAACGTTTGCAGTAGCATCAGTAGCGGCCACCTTGCGACATTACAGGAGGTCTCATTCCCATTGGCGGTCTAGGAGGTCCACCTTGATAAGGAGGCACCATTGGGGGCCCTTGACCATATGGAGGCATTGCACCAGGAAGATACCCTGGCATGCCTTGGTGGTGAGCACCATACTGACCTGAAAAGCAAAATTTGAAAGAATGAACTTACATCTACCTTCAGCAGTACTGTTATTAGTATATGTCACTTAATTCCACAATTAAATACATTTCATAAGCTTCCAACACAGCTTAATTTGTTATTACCATGAGGTGGGATTGGTGGTCTCATTCCTTGTTGCTGGGGGGGAATTCCTGGCTGTGGTGGCATCATACCTCCAATTGGTCCAACTGGTGGATTGCCCATAGATGCCTGCCCTGGTCGAGGGAGGTTACGCTGATATTTGGGTAACTGAGCTCTTCTTTCTTCCTATGAAGGGAAATACATGGAGGATATCTAATCAGTGTGAAATCAAAATAAGATTCATTCTGAAATACAGATACAGTTGAGACACTATTCTCATGGCAGTAGTTAATTATAGTTCAGGAAGTTCTAATGGATAATTTTTGACAATCAAATCATTATTAAGTAGATATGTACTCTAGGACATAAATTCAGTTTATGAAGTTCTGTATTAATTGCTATCTCAATTATTGCGGGAATTAAAAATAGAATTATTAAATCACCTGAACTCTCAAAAATGAAGCTCTCTAAATACTACAAAGAATAGGCTTTGAGAATTATACTGCTTTAACCATGGTAAATCATATGGGAAGTTGAAAACTTTTATTTATCATATCAATCTTATTATAAAAAAAAGGCATGGGAAAATTAACTTTAACTTACCAAGGATATATCCTCATCTGGATGGATCAACTTACTGGTTGCGCTGGTTGTTGTAAGAGTAGCAGGCTTACTTGTTATAGAAGTAGCAGGTTTAGCTGCAGTACTATTTGTTGTATTAGTGGTGGATGCTGTAGATTGTGTGTAAGCAGGGAATGTAGGTTTGGGTGGTTCTGTAGTAGTTGCAGGTGCATTATTCAAAGGTTTAAAATCTGTACCAACTGGGCCTGGAACAGTTGCTTGAGCCTGTATTTAAAAATACAAAATTAAAAATATAAGTACATTGTTATCTTTTAAATAAACTCCATAACATTATCATATGCTGACACAGGTAAATTAACCCAAAGTAAAAGTTCTATTTAATTACAAAAAGTAGCAAAATAAAAATAAAAAAATAAATCCTGCAACACAAACATACTGCAAAGTTTGAGATGTCTAGAACAAATAGGAACAAACTCTCTCCACCAGTCATTTTCTGTATTATACCCCATATAGTAAGATGTTTGGGTTTTCAAAATAAAAACCAATTTAATCTAGAAATATCAGCTGAGATAAATTAGTATTCAAACAGGATGTTTAAGACCGAACCTCAGGATGTCAATTTTTATGTTACATTTGTTTAAAATAATCCCTTGTATAAAAATCCCTTGATGTTCTGAGACATCTCAAATTATCACTTGCAGTTTTCAATTATTTTCCTATCCTACAGCCCATGAAAGCTATATTTAATTTCAATGGGAAAGTACAAGCTTGAAAGGATTTATACACAACAAAAGAGCTCTTAGTTTCACATGACAGAATGCTTTGGCAAGCAAACAGCACATTATTTCAAACTAATCACTGAACTCCAAAACAAGACTAGGTAAGTTGGGATTTTAGCACATGATGCATTTGACATTTAACATGATGTATCAGAATAGCATAAATTAGAAAAAATAAACCATGCATCAAGTAAACCACTGCCCACTAAATGCACTTAACTGCTTTCATGCTCTCTTTTTAACCCTTTAGAACCACAATGTAAAATTTTCTTCTTCTTTTTTTGTTATCCAATTATTATGCATGAATTCTCAGATCGCGCTGAACAACTAAACATAATCAGGAAACCACAATTATCTGACAATGTTTAGGCAGATTTTTAAAGTGTACATAACGGTTTAAAGGGTTAATTGGCAAAGCAATTTTTAACTGCAACTTCCTGCGTACTTGTGCTGTGCTAGGAAACAGAGCTTTAGAAGGTGCTGACAGTTCTGAATTGGATGAAGTTGTACTTGAGCTTGTGACAGGTGTCCCCATCTGTAGCACAAAAGAAAGGAAACAGTAAACAGTCTCCAAATGAATGCATAAAAATAACCAAGAGGAAAAATCTCAGACTGATTTTTGTTTATGAATAGGGATGCACATAAAATGTTTCTTTGAGCCTGAAACAAGCACAATGGATAAATTCTGACGAATTGTTCCAGGTGGGCTGTGGTTTAAGAAAAAGAAAAACATGTTTCTATTGTCTCAAAATATACTAGCAAGGATTCTGGATGATTTTACCCGATGAGCAGAACAAGGCTAGCGTGTATTCCTTCTGCTTTCTTCTTGTCCCTCCAGTAGCTCCCAACAAGATACATGTCACCAGCCCACCTGTCTGTGATGCTTGAAGCCTTTTTCCTGTTTTTTCAAACACTGCTGCCTATTAACAACAGTGTTTCAATACTTATTTGGAACAAAATAATAGCATTTCATTCCATACTCGGACCAAACATACATGTTTTATTTTGGACATGAACTACTTCAAACCAGCTGTTTGGTGCAGTTTGTGAGTGAAGCTTCTACAGAACCCTATGCATGACTCTCTCTTGCAGAAATTTAGAAGTTCTGCTTCCAAGTCAATAGTTTAAAAACAAAAACCTTCATTTATAATGCAGTTCTGTTAAAGAGCAGGTACTACTTTAACTTGCAAAAATAATTGTCATTTTAGATTTTAGTTAAATAGTTAATATACTGTATATAACTATTTTCTTTTCCAGTTTCAACATAATTTCCTTTAATCTAGTATAAAAAAAGTACAGAACAGAATACTCTGCTCTCTTAATTTTGTGTTCATTTTATAAGTACAAAACATGTTTTAAGGATAATAAAATTGCTATTAAGTGGTTATTAGAACTATTTCCTGAACATGTGCTAAAGCAGACGTTACTTATTCTCTTTACCATCCATCCCTCTATTCTGAGTTTGGACTGGCAGAAGTATTTACATTCTTTGCAGAAAAAAAAGGAGATGTAAATAGGAAACCTTTGACAAGAATACACCACACATAAAATGCAATAGAAGTATGAGATAATACCATTTGCCAATTTCAGTTGTAACACACACCCCACTGTTTTTGAACCGTAATTCACTATTTCAACATACTTGAAAAGGAAGAAAATTAATGCACTGAAGCTTTTTGGTGATTAGATAATTGAAAACTTACTTGTCCGGCACTAGGAAACAGTGGTTTGGTAACTGGTGGTTGGGGAGTAGGTACTGCAATGACAGGAGCTGGAGGTCTATTAAGAACACCCTGAGTAGTCACCTGTTGGGCTTGTGTCATTGGAGGCAATCCAGGGCGAGGACCAACAGGTGGTGGCATACCTGTAGAATAATTATTTCTGATTATGCTTTGGTGAGGATTTTATTAATACCACAGGCAAGATCACAAATACTGACCTTCCGTCAGAGGGCTAACACATCAGACAAAGAAGCATTAAATGCACAAATATACTTTAATGATGCTTAGACTGAGTAGAATTGCTAAATTTATAGTTAAGGCAACTGATCTAAGACCTGTTATATTGAACAGATTGGGCTACCCTGTAAAAGTGATGTTATTTATCTGAACATTGATTGTATTTACTACATATGTATTTTATTACTGTATTTTCTTTCATCCGGTTTACCCTGGAATTAGATCCTCTCTTTTATTTTTGTTTTATATATTTGATACGATTGTAAGACTAATCAGTCTATCTGGTAACGAGGGGAAGGTGGTTTTGAGAACCCTAATTGGAAAGCCTGAATCCCTGAGAGACATGTCTTTTGTATGGACCCAGTCACAAGAGAAGTGCAAAGGATACTATCCTTGGCTGGATTTAGATTACAAATTCTGTTTTAAGGAATGGAATGCTTAAAAATGCTTTAATTTATCATTTTTAATCTAATTGTTGAAAAACGTAATCTTTTATTTATTAGAAGCAATTTGGAGATAACATTTATTTATACAAAATATTTTTAGGCCTCCTTTAAGGGCAAACCCTTCCCAGGGTGGGAATCTATCACATTTTCTAATTCCTTGCAAGCAATGTTTAGGAGTATTATTCTTTCACCCAATGCTTAAATGTATCTATTTTTAATTCTGAAAACATGCTGAATCTTCTTATATATTTCAATGGCTTACAATATTATCCAAATAAACATAGGTAAATATAAAGACAAATGAGTAAACAATAAAATTTGTAACTATACACTAAAACTACTAAACAATTCAAGCAGTGATAAGAATTTCCAAAAATATTTTTAAAGAGAAATTTTTAGAGAAATTTGCTACAGCATGTACAACGCATGTACAAATTATATTAATACTTATATTACCTTATATTAATACTATATTCTTGGAAGCAGAAATTTCTTTTTACCATTTTTGAAGAATCAAATTAGCCTGAACATAACATTTTATATAGGTTTTTTTGGAACTATTCTAAAGTCTTCACCCAAAAGGGGAAAAGTGAAAATAAAGCAAATACACAAAAAAGGCTTTCATGTTTCAATCAAAAATACAGCTTATGTGTTAATAGAAATATATTAGTCGACAGAGCAGAATGGAAAAAGCTTCTATCAGCAGTTGCCATTGCCTGAACTTCATACATTTTTGTTCCTGTGCACCTTCTTTCTAAGTCCCATAAAAAGCTGCTCTGTGTCCCTCTTTTACCCCAGAAATGTAGTAACCATAAATCCAGTTGAAAAAATTAAATAACTCTCACCACAATATGGATTCGTCATTCCTGACCTACCTGGTGGCATACCAGGCATGAGAGGTGGGATTCCTGGTCCTGGAGGCATCATCCCACCCATTGGCATCATCCTATAAAATTGAAAGACTCTAATGAGATCTCTCATTAAGAATGGCACTGTATGATATTAAAATGTCCCAAGATTTTCTACCAGCTGAGAAATGTAAATATCTGCCTTCAAATAACTTTGGCTGTATTGGATTTTAGCACAACTTCCTGCCTTAATTCAAAACACGAGCAAAATAGAGTAGAGCTATCATAATTCATCATCCAACTCTTTTTGGGAAGAAAAAGATAGAATGAAGCAATTGGCAGTCTAACATACCCGTTTGGTCTAGAGTTAATGTACTGGCCTAGAAACCAAAAGACCATAAATTCTAGTCCCGCTTTAGGCATGAAAACCATCTGGGCGACTTTGGGCCAGTCACTCTCTCTCTCAGCCAAACCTACCTCACAGGGTTGTTGTTGTGGGGAAAATAGGAGGTAGAAGGAGTATGAAGTATGTCCAATCCCTTAGATTATTTATAAAATATTAAAGATGGAATAACAAAATCACAATAAATGAAAAATATCCATGCCTGGAAAAGCCAGTATTCTGAGTTAAATAGGTAATTGTCTACCTTCGTCTTTACTTGATTTCAGTTTCTTTCCTATTCTCTTCTAGATAATAAGACAGAACCCAGTAACACAGGAGATCAGTGGTTATCCCCCGTTAATCTTACTAAGATTTCAAATTACTATGAAAGTCTTAGCAATTAGGGAAAACTACATTGGAAAACACTATTGAACACTCCTGAAAGAATAAACAAGTGATGTCCTTACAAACTAGGACAGGATTATCAGATCCCCAATTGTGCAGCTTTTAAAGCAAAGCCCCACAGGTGAAGTAAATCAAATGAAAACATGAAGCATGTTGTTGCCTCAACATCGTTCATACTTACCCGGGTGGCATTCCAGGCATGACTGGAGGCATTCCAGGCATCATTGGTGGAACACCTGCCATTAATGGTGGTATACCTAGAAGTTAAGAATGTATATTAACTGACCTGCAAATGAATAATCTATTGTTTACTGGATAAACATATATGAAAAACTCTTGACAATTTTCCTTAACATATTAAACCATGGAAAATTAACAACTACTACAATCCACTGGATTTCATCATTAGGTTTTCTAGTGTTGATTTAACTGTTTCTGAAATGCTCAAAACTATCCTTCAGATCTGCTCCCTGTATATTTTACCATGCTCAGATATAGCTCTGTAAAGAAAATCCAATTCCAAAAAGCAGAGGAATGTCTACTGATGTTAACATATTTATAGTAAGCAAAATCAAAAGTCTTGTAAGATATATACCTATTTTTCACCTTTAAGAACACATTGAGAACTAAACAAGTTAGAAGAGTCCCTGTGGAACAGATGGAAGCAAAAGACATTACTTCTCTAATTTAGATTTAACCCCCACTGAATATTTTCTGGTTCGTAAATGTTAAGAAAATGATTAACATAGCTAAAATACAGGAAAACATCATCATGCTGATTCAAAATAATATACTACTAAAATCTTTCATATTAGTAAAAAAACCATTCTAAAGCTGACGTAATTATTTCTATCTATATAACTACCTGGAGGAATTCCGGGTGCCCCTGGCACAGGAGGTAAACCTGGCTGTGCCATTGGTGGTATATATCCCTGCTGTGGCTGCACAGGCTGTGCTTGAAATGAGGTGGAAGCTGAAGACTCATCATCGTCATATTCATCAGAATCATCTTGTTGTTTCTTTTTCTGGCTTTCTGCTAAAAGTTTCAACGTTCAGGTTAATGCTAATTTGTGTCACAAAAAGTAACCATTCTTTTTAATACAATTATTGTATTTCTACATTGTAAGATATTGCTGCACAAAAGAATAAATTATCACAAACACTTTGAGCAAGATCCTTTTCCAAACCATTTAAATACTTGTTTGATTTCCCCCATTTCACAGAAAACCAGCTCAACACATCTGCTAGTGAAATCAAAACTAGTACATACTTACTAAACATCTATTATGCCCATTTTTAGTGAGTTATTCCATGTGGGCAGCAAATAAAGCTGCAAAGAACATGATCTGGTTTCCCAACAGGGCATTCATCACCACTGTAACTGTATCCGCCTATCTTGCTGTTGGTCATCTTCTTTTTCACCTTTCTCTGCATTACAGCCTTCTCCAAAGAATTACGTCCAAAATACAAGAATTTGAACTTGGTCACCAACACACAATACTCTTCCTATCCTGCTTATTCAAGTCCAACTTTAGCTTCCATAAAGCGTTATAGGGAATACCATCGCTTGCACTATTCAGTTCTTTGTAGGTACAGGCACATTGTAGCATTTGAATATCTTATGCATGGCCTTCATAGCTGCTCTACCAAGCACTAGTCTGAAGCAAATTTCTTCACTATTTGATCCTTTACTGTTGATAGTTGATCTGAAAAGGCAGGAACTATTCATCACTTTGGCATCTTGTCATTTCTAAGGTTGGTCGTTCTATCTGTGGTTATTAGTTTCATCGTTATATTTAATCTTAGTCCCTTTATTTCACCTTCACTTTTATTACTAAAACTTGCAGATACTTTGCATTTTCAGCTATGAGGACAGTATCAGTTATTGATGCTTCCATTTTAAAATGAAGCTCATCTTATTCCAATCCAGATTCTTCAATAAAATTTTGCCAGCTTAAATTTATAATATAATTAGTGGTAAGTTTACCTCATAAAATCAGATTAACTTTCATTCTCTTATCCTTTAGTAAATTGATAAAAAGAGTTATTTTCCACTAAGCTAAAAAAAAATTAATTTAATTTGAGGACAGCAACTGAGACAATTTTATGTCATATATGTTTAATGCTTTACTACTGTAAGTCACTGAGAATTTAAAAATATATAAATTACTGTAATATCACTCCAGCTATAATCAATACTATTTTCAACATTATCCATGCCAATCCATGACTATTATTTATATCGATTTCTACGTTTTCCCATGTATATGTTTTTGAATATGTTGCAGCAACACAACTACAAATACAATGAGACTCAATGGTCTGCCAAATCAAAGAGGAATCATGTTGCAAAGGTTCAGTATAAATATCAGGAAGTGTTTCCATTTACCTTGAGTTTTTTGTTCAAGCAGCCTTCTCCTTTCATCCATGTCTTTTTCAGGAATGCCCTCCATACCATATATTTCCAGTTCAATATCAGTTCTTCCCGGTATTGCATTTGGAACAGCATCAATTGTTTCCTTGTGTACCTTAAGAAAGAGAAATCCAAGCTAACGTAAACAGGATGTACATTAAAGACTACAACTATAAAGCTTTAAGATTAGTCTCCATTTAGCTATGAAGTTTACCAGATTTTTTGGGAAGGGGGTTCAATCACAGTATCTTAATTTAATGTTAACCTTAAAATTACACCTTTTCTTGGTTTAGCTACAACACAATACCAGGAAAAGCCATAGGTTTTTAATTTGCTATCAACAGTTAGAACAAACACAGCTATACTGGTTCTCAAATATCTTTCTCAACTGGGATTTGAATACTCTTAACGTTTATTTTCCTGAACAATTCTGGAAATCTATTCAAAAATGCTTGGACCAACACATTTGAAAAGAAAAACAGAACTTACAGATATCCAAAACACACCAGCATGGAACTTTCTACATAACTTGTCTTTCACTCTGATTAATGGAAACTTTCAAAACTTTAGATGCCACCTCTCCATGTACAGCTACTATCAATTCTGCTTATTTTCTGATCAAATAACTCTTCTAATCTTCTACTGATGCAGCTATTATTGTAATATGGGTAATCTTTGATTTATAATTAGTTGCAATTATGATGAACCCACAAAAGATACTTGAATTGCAGTGATTACACTTTGGATGCTTGGCATTTACTTCCAATTTTTGGCAAAAGATGCCCATTGCGGATCATAGAATTGTTTAACACCATGGTGAATTGCTTAACAACCACTGCAAAAATTTTTATAGAATCAGATGGGTCACATGACCAACATGAAGTAGGACTGTAACTCTGGATGATGTAGGATCGTAACTCCAGGTTCTATTACAGTCATAAATCAAAGATTACTTGTACATCGAGGGCATTTGTGAATAACAAATTAACTTTCATTTTCTTACTTTAAAATGGAAAGATTGTGAAACAAAAGCATATATAAGTAACACCACAAATAATCATATTTATATGGGTATATTATAGTACTTACCTGCATACAGTGTATAGCTAAACCAGGTCCTGTATACAGTTTCTTATGACATATATGGCATTTAAAGTGCTTTGCTTTTTGGTGTTGAATAAGAATTTTCTCATCATCAAAATCCCTGTTACAATACCTATTCCACATTGTTAAAGAAATCAAGCATATATGCTAATATTAAAGATATTAATTAGTCAACATTACTATAAACAGTTTTAAGGAAAGCTGTAACCCATTTCCAATTAAATTTCAATTACTGTTATAAATCAAGATTTCATAAACCTTATACGTTTTCTCATCAGGAAAGACAACTTCAAAGGCATCCAGCAGTTATTCACTCATAAAGTGACTATAACTCCAATGTTAAGTGGCAGGATTTGGAATTTTTAAGGTTAGAACCGCACAAATTTTGATGTGTTGAGTAGTCAACCACTGCTTATGATACCATCTAACACATATAATCTTTGCCCATACTAGAGGGTTTGGGATAAGGGAAATCCATGCAGACTCTCTGAACATACAGAAGTTGTTTCTCAGAGAAAGACTGCTCTCAACCTCACTACTGATTTTGCTTTTTTGAAAACATGTGGACAATCACACCTTCATTGTTAGCTAGTTAACCATCCAAGAGTCTCCTTATCTGGGAAATAGGCAGCATATAAATCTTATGTGTGTGTGTGTGTGTGTATAAAGCGAACACAGAACAATGGAAGAATAAGTTTTCCAACCCTTAAGAAGTCCTTAAGAAGCTAGTGAGAGATAGCGAAAGAGAAATAAATTTATAGATATCTGGCAAACATCTAGCAAAAAAAAAAAAGGCTACAGTTTCGGCCTACTACCAGCACGATACCCATCAAAATTAACAAAATATGCTTTTTGTATCCATTAAACGTCAGGGCACAAGGTTAACGGCAACAGCCCTTTCTGTAAGAACGGGATACGCTGCTGGATACGTGAATCCCAAAAGGCGGCAGCTCCGAAAACTCTTTTTCTTTTTTTTAAGGCTCTGGAGTGAAGAAATCCGGACTATTTTTTTATACGGCAGTGAGAAGCGAGAAGGTCTTTGTGAACGTCTTTCCTGCCGTCGCCCGGATGGTTTTTTTTTTTTTTTTGCGGCCAGGGCCCTGCCGAACAAAACAGGCGGCTGAGGCGTTTCAGCACCAGAAAGGAAAAAAAAAAAGAGGCCGCTACCGAAGACAGGCCAGTCGGACCTCCCTCCCTCCCGATCAGAAACGAGAGGCGGCAGCGGCCTTCCGCCTAGAAAAGGATACCAGCACCAAGGCTTTAGCTGCTTCTTCTTCTTACGACCCATGACGAGAAGGCAACGGCTCGGACGGGAAAACTCCCCAAGAAACGGCGAACGTGACGGAGCGCCAACGCCAACCGCTCTCTCTCTCTCTCTCTTTCTCTCTCTCTCTTTCTCCCTCTTCTCAGCCAGGCATAAAATGGCCGCTGTCCTCCGCCGAATCCCTCGCCTTCCCGAAATGCAACGCGGAGGGAGAGGGGCACGTGTACGGTCTCGAGGCGACCTCACGGATTGTTACGTCATCCGTTCCTTCCCGGCGGGCGGTGCAGCGGAAATTCCGACTGCGCGCTTCTTGGCCACGTGGGTTGCTTTGTGGGATTTTTTTTTTTTATTATTTTATTTTTTTGGTGGGTGTTCTTTTCCACTGTGACTTAACGATTCTTTTAAAAAGCTTGAAGCTTGGTTCGGCTGCGCAGGAGGCAGCTGAACCCGATAACCTGGTCCTCAAATTGTTGCTGGCCATTCCCTAGTTTAGAAATAATGATGATTTTCATGTTCCCCCTGAATAAGATTGTTTCTGCGAACGAATCAGATTCACAAAACTCGTGTGATTTTTTTTTTTATAAGCAGCGAGAATAACGCTTCATCTTCGAAGGTTTATGTAGCTCAGTATTGTACGTGCGTGTTGGGAAATAAATCCCCTTGAGATTCAATGGGAAGCTAAGGGAGCGCTCAACCAATCTCATTGTACATATGTTGTGCACTGACAATAAAGAATTGAATTGAATTAACGGTATTCTAATTAAAATCAGGGTTCTGAGAAAGAGCATTCATTAAGTTAGATAAGGCTAATTAACAATTTGGCCGTCCCATCGCATATTATATGCCTATTTGGAGTTCTACTGAGATCAGCAATTAGTGTGTAAATCAAATTATTATAGGCCCAGGGGCTCTTTGTTATATTTATTTATAGCCTAAACATGTTGTACTCTGACAATAAAATTAATCAGTCAAAAATTAATCAGTAAAGGCCAGATGTAAATATAAACAAGTTTACAATTGGAATGGCTTTTTCTTTAGACGATCCGTGAATGTAATCCCACTGATTTCAGTGACAATATGGTTCATTCTAAACTAATGCCCATCCAATCCAGCGTGCTGAGTGGTTTTTTAAAAAAACTCTGTAAAATTGGGGAATGAATGTTAAACTGAGCCAGTGTGAGCCTTGGAGAGAGAGGGGTGTGTGGTATGCGCGGGTGCCCGCAACATCCTTAACAATTTCAGGAGTCTTAACTTCTGCCTCTGTCTTCTCTCTACCGTGGCAACATGTTTGTGATCGGAACCTTTGTGACGCTATATGGACAGGAGTGCGGAGCCGAGGAGAATAGGTCGTTGCGCTGTACGGCAATAGGGGGAACGGATTTTCTTCGCTCCGAGTTCGCAAGCAAAGATGTTGCCTTCCCTTCAGGAGTCCGTGGACGGAGATGAGAGAGAGCTGGAGAGCAGCGAGGAGGGAGGCGGTTTACCCGAGGAACGGAAACCGGAGCGTAGCAGCAACAGTTACCACTGCTTGTACGGCTACCGAGGCTCCGGGTAAGAGAGCGAGGGCTGCTCCGCCGGGTCCCTGCAGGCTTTCTCCTCCCTCCGTGTCTCCAGCCTGAAGCATAAAAGGCTGCAATCCTTCATAGTGTTTTATGATCATCCAGCCTTTCCGAATCTGGGGGTCTCGGGTGAATTCATTCTGCCGTCCCACCCTGAGAGTGATGGGGGCTTGTTGTTCAATTCATCTGGGGTTCACCAAATGTTTGGTAACAAGTTAAAAATGGTTGATGGAATAAAACCAACAAATTATTTTAGTCCAGTTTCTAGTTTCCATTTGTGATCATGTAGATTGGTTATGGCTGCTCCTAAAATCTAGCCTCTATTCCCCTCTCCCCCCACATTGATTTTCCTTGAAATGTTATGATTATGCATGCTTCCAACCAATACGGTCCCAATTGGTCCTGCAATACTTGCTGATGTCATTGATCCATCTTGTTTTAGGTCTCTTTCGTGGACGCTTTTTTATCAAGTGGGATCCGTTCTATGACTGCCTTGGTCTACCTGTCATCAGTTCTTATTGCTATGTGACCAGCCCATTTCAATTCTTTTATTCTCTTGATGATATTGTATACTTTCGTTTGTTCTCTAATCCATGTGCAGGTCTTTTTGTCTTGTCTTGTAATGTAATGTTGGAAACATGTGGAAGAGGCCTTCATCCAGCAGTGGATAGATAATAGCTAAAATGATGATGATGATGACTATTATGCAAATGACAGCCAGTTTCCTGTAGTATAGTAGTTAAGGATTCAGGCTAGAAACCAGGAGATCATTAATTCTAATCCCATTTTAGATACAAAGCCAGATGGGTGACCTTGGGCCAGTCCCTGTCGCTAAGTCCTAGGAAGCAAGCAATGGCAAACCACTTCTGAAAAACCTTGCCAACAAAACTGTAGGGACTTGTCCAGGTAGTCTCCAAAAATCGGACACAATTAACAGGGAAAAAATGCGACTACAGTAGGACTGTCGATTGATGAATTTATCTAATGCATTTTAAAATGTTGGTCATACATTGGAGTTATCGCATCTTGGGCTATCAAATTCTTCTGAGTTGTTCAGAGGGCTGCTCAAAACAAGGTGCTATTTGCCCATTTGAATCCAAAAATACTCCTGAAGTTGTCGATTCAATTCTCAGAAATTCCAATCTCCTCTTCCCAGTCCCGGTTTTCATTCCCTCTCCCTTAGAACAATGACAATAATATGATAGGTGTTTTGAGTTTTCTGTAACCACATGCGTTTTGTCTTTTAATTCATAATTAATTTGACTTTTTCAGATTACACCAAGGGTCAGGCAGTGATGTTGGGAGTCCAAGCAAATCACCAGTTGAAACATCTTCAGATGACTTCAGGTAAAAATGAACTTGGCAGAAAGATTTTGTGTGCTGTATCTTGGATTGTTATAACAGATGGGCATCTGTGTATCACTTGTTCTGACAAACCATTTTTAACTGTTATCAAACATTTAACTTGGTGCACTATGAATGCACAAGTAAATTCTTTCTGGCTCTGCTTTAAGGCTTGCTTTTGTTCTTCTAATTTCTGAATAGGTTAAGGGCCAACTATCTGAAGAGTTCCCTAACTAACTGTCTGCTTAAAGTTAGCAAGAGGTATCTTGACAAAGATTTCTTAGTTTCCTAGGCACATTTGTAAAGCATGTGGGAAAGGACTGTGTTCCCTTGGAATTGCACTCATCTCCCACTCTTTCTGTAATGAGATGATACAAGCAGTAATGGTGTGACAAACATCTCAGAAGTGATTCTCCCTAGTTTTTAGGGAGGAGGAAGCGATGTACTTTCAGGCTAGCAAGATTCTGGGTGTGTTTCTTGCCTAGAGTTCTTCAGAAGGCTGTCATTAGTTTTGCAAATCTCTTCCCATTTGCCTTTACAATCCAAGAAACGAGGGAGGGAAATTTCCGAGATGTTTGCCATGCCCACGTTACTTCTGTGAGCTAAGCTGCCTCTTATCTGACTGCTGTCAGATCTTCAGCTCTTCCTTTTTCTGTCTTATGACAGTCTACTTATGAATCTAAATTCATATCACTTTGATATGATCACTTATCTACCGCCAATTAGTTTTGATCGTTAGTTCAGATTCTTGTAGAGAAAAGCATTACCATACAATAAACCTATATTTATTTCAACTGCCTGGACTCCTGATTTCTGTCCTTGACAAATTAATATAAGAAGTATGAGAGTTCATTATTATATATTTTTATGTATTTCCCAGCTTGATGAAAAAATTGTCAATATTCTAAGAATAGATACTTCCTTAAAAAGAAACTGAATTTACTGCTGCCATTAGAAATGGAATTCCTACTCTTGGTATGAGACATGAATAAGGATATTATAGAAACGGGGAAAAATATTTGGGTGGAGGAGACCAAATCAAGGAAAATATAGTTGAGAAGTCTATGGTCTTCTGTTCCATGCTTTCATTCCTATCCATTATTCATGCTCATTGAAACACATGGAGTTGTACCCTAGTGCAAAATGATTGAAGTGTGCAACTTTGTAGCTCTTGGTTTTACTCCAAGTCATGTTTTGATTGTTTATTTAAATGGGACATGCTTGGAACTTCATATCCAACTGGAAGTAGCATCTTTTTCTTTGAAAGCTTGGCATTTAATCGTACGTACGAAGGACTGGTTGTGGTTAGCTGGTCTTTGTAACTCTATAATTTAACTAAATAGATATAACAATAGATATAATCATGGTGGGTTTTTGTTTTTATTTCATTTATAAAGCCTTTCATTGGTGGACACTAATTTACCAACTGAAGCTGAGATGGAGTTGCGTGGTTTGGTTGCCAAGCATCTTAACAAAGGAGCTTTGTTTGAGGGGATGGGCAATGTTATATCGGCCGAGTTGAGGTAAGACTGTAGTATGGACTGAGACGTCCAGTGATCTCAAGCAATTTTAGTTAATTGTAGCTTTCTTAATACATTAGTGATACCATTTTACTAAATTGTGTGTAATCAAATTAAACTGCGGATGTACCATTTTAAATTTTGTTTTATGAGTCAAAGATTGAACTGTGCTATTTATTTCTGAATGATCACATCCTTGTCATGCCTTTGAAGCGTCTGAAAATCGCTGGTTGCCGCACAAAATAAAACAACTTCTTCTCTCCCCCCCCCCCCCACCCCAGCATATCTCCTGGCTTTTAGAGTAGCTTTCTGATCCTGATCCTGTGGTTTTTTTTTTTTAACTGTCATTCCAACTGAGCTAAATTTACAAGATGTGGAAATTACAGTTAGTCTGAGCTTTGAGCCCAACATTTCTGCTGCTAGGTGAGACAGTTGTTAAATGAGTTTGCCCCATTTTACAACCTTTTTTTGCCACAGTTGTTAAGTGAATCACTGCAGTTGTTAAGTTAGTAACACAGTTGTTAAGTGAATCTGGCTTCCCCATTGACTTTGCTTGGCAGAAAGTGTCAAAAGGGGAATCACATGACCCCAGGACACTGCAACCATCAGAAATATGACTCGGTTGCTAAGTATCTGAATTTTGATCACGTGACCATGGGGTGCGGCAATGGCCGTAAATGTGAAAAACAGTCATAGGTCACTCTTTTCAGTGCCGTTGTAACTTTGAATAGCCATTAAACGAACTGTTATAAGTTGAGGACTATTTGTATTCATATACAT